AGGATGGCTACTTATGCAGGCTACGCATTGTGCCCCCTACCCCACAGCAAGCTGGGTACTCAATTTAACTTTGGAAGGATGGCAGGTTGAGTAAATTGAGCTGGCTACTTGAGCCCATCAAGATCAAACTGAAGTCATGAGCAGAGTCTTGGTGCAGTACTGTAATTTAACCACTGCATTACGAGGCTGCTAATTTACCAGCTGGTTGGATAGCTATCTGGCTGCAGAACCAAAGGTTGGGAATTTGATTCCTCGCTGTGCCTCCAGAGAGAAGAGCCAGTGTTTGTAATCATAGGCAGGCTACATAGTCCCTGTCCCCAGAAGAGAGTGGGAAATCACTTCTTTGTATTGTCTACCTAGAAAATCCTAGAAAGGGTTGCCGTAAATCAGAACCAACTTGACAACACATGTTTCAGGGCCACACCTCTCCCAGGAGTTTCTGTGGCCAGGCAGGGATTCAAGTCTATCATTCTATCAACTGCACTACACTGGGTACTGTATTCCAGGAGTGCTTTAGATACTGGTACTTTAGAAAATTTAAAGGTGCCTTAGAAAATCTCAGCCCTTTAATAAATTCTTCACTTGGGCTGATAAGGAATGAAGATGATAGATTTCCCATGTGCTGTCCTGCCTCTGGTTCCCCTGCTCTTCCTATGCAAATATCCTGTTGTTTTCTTCTCCAAATGTCAAATATTTCTTCATAGCCCCAGAAGAGACTGAACTTTCAGACTACAGTATATGAAGTGAAATTCCCAGAACTCAAGTTCTTGCCAAATATAAAACCTGTTCTCTAAAACACAGAATATATTGAGCCAAGGAGCTATAACTTCCAAAAACTTTGCCAAAGGAAGCCACTTGCTCCATCTGCCAGAAGTATTTCCAAGACTGGGCACCACTACTGCTGATCCTGCACCCCTGGCTGCCAAGGAACATCAGATACCAGAGCATCCTGTACAAAATGCAGACCTCTCACCCAGATGGGAGACCTCATCACCAACAGGTTGCTGAAAGAGATGCTGGTGATTATTCAACTGCAGAATCTACAGGCTGTCAAAGGAGCAGAAGCACAAGAGGGAAATTCACTGAGGGCCTCAGAAACGTCTGTGAGGTAAACCAAGACTCCGTGTGGATGATGTGTGGCGGATCTGAGGGCCACCATGACCACAGGGCCATTCCTAGAGAGGTGGTGGTCCAGGACTACAAGGTGATGAAATGGGAGAATCGGAGGTGCTTGAAGGGGTGTGTGGAAATCTAAAACTTTCCCTTTTAACACTACAGTGCAACAGAACCCATTGGCATTCTAGGAGCTGTAGTCCAAAAAACCTAATGTATACTGGGCAATGTTTTCATGTATTACGTTAAATATTAAGTAATCTCTGGGAGGAAATAGCACATATTAATGTGGTTCACACTGTTCGTCGTAGTAGCATTTTCTTCACTCCTTCATATTTTATCTTTGTACTGTAGTTTAAATTGGCCACCACATTCTGGTACAGTATTTTCCAAGTGGCTTGAACAACTTCACAATTCATTTGCAGTCAGATTGATAATCCAACACTTCAGGTGTGAGAATATCATAGTGATTAATTTCACAATGAAGCTTTGTCACGGATCTGCATTTCCTCCCCTCTACAAGGCTTCAGGCTCAGCTTTCAAACGTCGTGGAGTGTTTATCCAGATTTTAATGTTCAAAAAGAATGGCATTACTCAGAGGACACTGATCCAGTGGCTGAACTCCTGCTTAGTGTAATAAATTGTACTAGAGTAAGACCAGTGAATCAATGGGGATTTGGTAAACCAACTCCTCTGTGAGGACAGGCTGTTTACTTTCAACTATAGTTCTTCCTTGTTGTCATTGTGAATTCACACTAATGGTTTGTTCTGCACCTACACAGTCATCTTTGGAATCTTCCAGAGCCTAGAAAGCTGCCAGCCTCACCCTAACGCCCAGTACATAATCCTCCACCTAATAGTTAATTCCCAGTTCCCACGTCTGCCACTGAATAAAATCCAATGCGTGGCAGATAGAGGGGAAGTTTGGTGGGTTGAACGAATTCACAAATGACCACTTGGAAGAACTACAGTTACAGGTAAGGAACCTGCCCTTCTTTGGGGTCTCTGATTCAGACTAACCAGCAAGTGCGCTTACAGACAGGTGGGTAATCATGCCAACATTGATGAAATTACTGCTCATGTATAGCTCAGACATCTATAATGCTTGATGAACATTAAGACCATGTACCTCCCTTACAGATGTTGGTTATCTACACGGCAGTGGAGGCATGTCCTTCCAAGGAATGGGGCACAGGCTTTCTTGCCAACTGACAGGACAGGGTGACGGCACGTACCAACCATTTAGATATCCTTTGAGAAGATGCATGATTATCCTGTTGTCTTCCTTGGTAGCAGACAAACAACTTGGTAGATTTTCCTGGTCATGTAGGCCAGAGCTCTACGGACGTATAGTGTGTGTAGTGATCTTTCCAGGGGTAGAGTAGCGGATGGGAAGAAGGTTGGCAACACCAGAGGTTGGTGGATGTGAAAATCTGTCAGAACTTTAGGGAGAAAGGAGCCATCTGTTGTCAGAACCACTTTATCATCAAAGAATTGTAAGAAAGGGGGAGGGTCACAACATAATGCAGGCAGATTACTTGCTCACTTTGCTGATATGATGGAAACAAAAATACTGTCCTCTATGAGTAGAACCCTTCCCCCCTCATCCCCGGGTAAAGGAATGGAGTCTGTTATCAGTCCCAAGCTGCTGCAAGCCTGGTGATCATCTTTAATTCCTTTTAAACAGATAGAAGCAACAAAGACAGAAGATATGACCAGACAGCCTAGTAACACAAAGGCAGGAACTACATTTGAGTTCTGAGGTTTTTCTCCCAGATTAGAGAGTGCCTGGAGCCAAGAAGACTGGATAGAACAAGTACCAGCCGAGCAGGATGTCTCTGTGTACCAGTTGCTGGGGAACATGAGGGGCCACTAATCCCTTATTTATGGGCTTCCTCTAGGCAACTGGCTGTGCACTGTACAAACAGGATGCTGGACAAGCCGGGGGTTCTGTCCTATCTGGCAGGGCTTGTCTTGTGCTATTAGCTAGAGGCATGCAAATTTGGCCACATGCTGCCTGGGGAATTTTGAGAATTGTAGTCCAAAAGCATAAATCTGCACATAATTGAGACCCTTCTCCCCCACTACCAATTGATTAAGAACAATGTATTAGGACATGAACAATATTGATTACAAAAAAAGAAAAAAGAGGTTACCTACCTGTAACCATGGTTCTTCTAGTGGTCCTCTGTGAATCCAGCTCAATTGTGTGCATTCACAGAGGCCACGAAGAAGAAAGACAAGACAAACAGTTTAAGATAGTGGTGCTTGTTTGTTCTCTGAAGCTTGCATTTAGGAACTGAAAAACCAAGCAACCCACACTGGCATATTCAGCATTGATTGGCAAAAAACCCAACAGGTTTGCTACAGCACTGACTCACTGATGCTGTTTTCTGTGACTTGACAACACAAATACTTCACAGAGCTTGAAAAAGTACTGGGTGCTACTATCCAAAAGGAGGACTTTTTCCAGACTCTGCCTCTGAACAAAATGCTGTCTGATCATAACCACATTTTTGGTCCACGTTAACTACACAACTGTTTTGACACAACATCCAATGTCTCTCTCTCTCTCTCTCTCACACACACACACACACACACACACACACACACACACAATGGCACCATCATGATTTCCGCCAAATAAATGGGGAGTAAACTCCCTTCACCATCCATTCCTGTGTTGATAAGTCACTTAATAAGGGTCACAAGTCACCCCTCAGTCTGTCAGCATGAACTGGAAGGCGGAAGATTTTGGGTACCCCCCCCCTCTGATTCTCAGAGCCGTGTAGTTGGTAAAAGTATTTTAAGGGGTAGCTAATTTGCCTCACATGAATTGGAGGCAGCCTCAACCATCAACTGTCAACTGGGCAAGCAACACCTTAAAAAATGGGAACACTCTCTCACCACAAAAGGAAGCAGATGGGAAAATAAAGATGGAGTCCTTTGTGTCAGCATTAAAAAATTCCACCTGCTCCTTTTCATAGTCCAGAGAAACCCGGATCCTTCTTGGACTGCAGCTGAGGGGCAGAGGCGTTATGGGGACGGTGAGGGCTTGATATTGCCCAAAATCTCCTTGCAGAGCCCATATCCCTTCCTCTGGGGTAAGTTTGAGCTCTACCTTCCTCCTCACAGAGCCTCGGGCCACTCCCACCGCCCAGATGCCCCCATCTTCCACATTGACCTCCCAGTAGTGCCTCCCAGAACTGAACCCTTCACAGCCCAGCACGCAGCAAGAGGACTTGAACCGTTTCGGATTGTGTGGCACATCTGTCCTGGTGACATCCCATCTCGCACTTTTCCGATCCTCAGAGATGATGACTTGGGGGTTTGCCGTTTCTGTGTCAAGGGTTACGTTGACTGGAAAGAGAAAACAAAAGGGATGTGAATACATGTTTTTGTCAGAGCGATATAAAATCCCCCAGTTCCGAGGGGCCAGGTAGCAGAGACGGATAATGTGTGGCCTCCAAATGTTTTGGGGCTGCAGTTCTCATCAGGTGTAGGGGGCATAGCTGATGCAGATGTTTTGAGGGAACCTGCAGTTGAACACCATTTTGATGGAGATACGTAACCCACCTGGGCCTGTACTGGATGGATATGAGTGCATATCGTACAGTACATTGGTTCCCTACCTTGAGTCCCCAGCAATTCCCAGAAGTCCTAGCCAGCACAGCTAGCAGTAAAGGCTTCTAAGAGTTTTAGTCCAAGAACACCTGATTTACCACAGGTTGGGAATCACTGCGTAGTACATGTAGTAACAGCTTGACTACAGTTCCTAAATGCAGGCTGCAGAGAAGCAAGCCAGCAACACCGGAAGGAAAGTCTGACACTTGCTCTGTCATGTGTACACTGGCGCAGTCCGATTCAGAATTTTCTGAATACCAACACCACCATTTCCTTTCAGAACCAAACTTCCATGAACTGACTTTCTCCCATATATTTTCTCATCTGATACTTACCCCATTCTGTTCCCAGTTCTGATGGAAGACCATCTAAGGGAGGGGGAAAAAAAGACAAGTTATGTGTAAATTTGAGCAATGGTTAATTTCTTCTTTTTTAAAAATAAAAATTGCCCAAACTGAAAGCCACTTCTTCAGACCGGATGATCCTGTTCAGCCATTGATCCTAGATCTAAATATGGCAATCTGGAGTTGCAAGACAAGAAAAAGATAGGTAGCCGTGCCTTTCTTTTATACACAGTACTTGGAATGAATACTCAGAGGCATTTTCTTCTTAGCAGATTCAAATAGAATCTTGGCTGTAAGAAAACCCACTCTTTATATTTTATACACAAAGAAACAGAGAAGAATGGCAATACAAAATCAGTTACAGAACTGTGGAAGAAATCTTCAGGGTCTTCTAATTTACCGTGGCCTACGTTGGAAATTCACAGCTAAAGTATCTCTGATAATTGGCTGTCCATTGTAAAATTTCCAGTGAATAGAGTCCAGAAATAGCAAAAAGGGAAATCAGGAACAAAAGCAGATAATTATACGAAATTAAGTGGATGTTTCAGTTTCCCAACTATCATAGGACTGTCAAATCACAGTCTATACAAATGTAAACCTATTGTTTCAAACATCACAAATAATACAATTTTTCTATAAGCTTGTTTGTATTCTGCCTTGGCTTCTTGAGAAACATTTCACAGAGAAACCCTACTCCTCTTTTAAAAAATAGTATTCACAGTCCAAAATCCTGTTGTTTAACATAGTGAATTACACTAGAGCAGGCCCACTGAATCAATGGGAGTCAACTTCTCTCTAAGTCAAGTCACATTGATTCAAATGGGTCTATTCTTAACTTCAACTTTAACATAATAAATTACAGTTAGAGTAGGCACATTTGAATCAATGGAACTTATGGAGGAGCTGACTGACTAAATCTCCACTGATTCTAAGAGAAACATCAGAGTATGAGATACTACACTAAGCAAGAAGATTTTGGCCACAGATTTCAGGAGTGTATTCATAAACACACATATTTTACTATGTATAGTCACTGGATAAATTCTCTGGACACTTCAGAGAACAAATATTAATTATCTATGGGCTAGATCCGACATTACATGAGCGGGGCAAATGCAACTATTAATACACACACAAAAAAACCCAATAATCTACGAACTAGATCCAACATTACATGAGTGCACCTCTGTTTAAACAACCTTCCCCTCCCTCCTTTCTGCTCCCACTAGAGTATCCTGAAAGAGGTTCTGACCAGCTGGCTGGCTCGTTACCAAGGGTCCAGCCTGTAACATTTTGGTGAAGGTTCTACTTGTAACTTCTAAGAAGCAGATCTTCTGCACACCTTTAAGGTTCTTCATGATGTCTGCAAGTGAAAAAATAGTATTCACAGTCCAAAATCCTGTTGTTTAACATAGTGAATTACACTAGAGCAGGCCCACTGAATCAATGGAAGTCAACTTCTCTCTAAATCAAGTCACATTGATTCAAATGGGTCTATTCTTAACTTCAACTTTAACATAATAAATTACAGTTAGAGTAGGCACATTTGAATCAATGGAACTTATGGAGGAGCTGACTGACTAAATCTCCACTGATTCAATGGGCCTAACCCTGGTATGAGATACTACACTAAGCAAGAAGATTTTGGCCACAGATTTGAGGAGTGTATTCATAAAAACATATATTTTACTATGTATAGTCACTGGATAAATTCTCTGGACACTTCAGAGAACAAATACAACAATTAATATAGGGGGGGGAAACAATTATCTATGGGCTAGATCCAACATTACATGAGCGGGGCAAATGCAACTATTAATACACAAAAAAAAACCCAATAATCTACGAACTAGATCCAACATTACATGAGTGCACCTCTGTTTAAACAACCTTCCCCTCCCTCCTTTCTGCTCCCACTAGAGTATCCTGAAAGAGGTTCTGACCAGCTGGCTGGCTCGTTACCAAGGGTCCAGCCTGTAACATTTTGGTGAAGGTTCTACTTGTAACTTCTAAGAAGCAGATCTTCTGCACACCTTTAAGGTTCTTCATGATGTCTGCAAGTGCAATGTTTTTCTCAGAGAATTCACTTAGTCTCTTCTCCACCTTTTGTGGCATCTCCTCAGGGGGTTGAAATGGCTCCTTCTCAAACCTAGAAAGAAATGATTGTCTGAATTTTCCACCATTTCACCTGTTTCCAAGAATTATTATACTAAATGGAGCTAAGGAAGGGTGCCTGTCTTTTGACCTTGGAGACAGTAGGCAATGCTCTCTCAGAACTAGGACTCATCCTGATCAAGTCCCAGAAGAGGGCTATGTCTGAAAGCTAAGGAAGGGTGCCTGTCTTTTGAGACAGTAGGCAATGCTCTCTCAGAACTAGGACTCATCCTGATCAAGTCCTAGAAGAGAGCTATATCTCTTCTAGCAGTGGCTCCCAACCTTGGGTAACCCAGGTGTTCTTGGATTTCAATTCCCAGAAGCCTTCACCACCAGCTGTGTGGCCAGGGTTTCTGGGAGTTGTATGCAAAGCAATAGCAAATTATTGCAAACAGCTTGTAACTTAAATTTATGTGTTTTTCCTGATCATCACTTCTTAGCACAACTGCTATACTGTTGTTGCCCATTGTGGTACTGCTGTTGGAGACCAGAGTATGGAAGAACAACGTTTGCTGCAACCTGTAGCCCAAAGAAGTAACTTCCACTCTCTCTCCACCCTGTACAGGAGCAACAGATTTTCAAAGATAAACTGTCAGCATCAGAACGAAGCAAGGAAGGTACAGTATAGCTCAAGTTTTGGGTGTTGCAACCACATACCTGCACAATGTGCTTCTGATATCCTAGAGAGAGACGAGATGAGAGAGGGCATGGATAGGGAGAAAAAGACAGGAGGCTCTGTGTCAACAATGACTAGATTATAATCATTATAGGCACTTAATACCTGAGAAACACAGAAAGAAGAGCAAATGCTTTTTTGTGGCTGCGCATCTTCTAATGAAACATAAAGGGGGAGTATATACCAGTCGGAAAAGTATGAAAGTATGTGAAAATAAATACATTTGCCAGAAATGTGGGGGGAGTGGGAATCATGAAGTCATTCCAAATGCTGTGGAAAACTACATTTAACAATGATATTGACTGTTTAAGCTCTCTATTCTGGCACTCAAAGGTGGAAGATGCAACTTAAAATGAAGAACTTACTAACACATATAATGCATTTTCTGTTCCCTGCTGCTCTTAAAAATACAAGAGCCTTCCCATTAATTGGGCTGCTGCCAAGGCTAAGCTTTGGGCTGTCAAAGGTCTTAAGACTACAACTTCTGTATCCCTTTAATATGCTGGCAGAGCTTCTGGGAATTGAGGTCCAGAACCTTGAGATAGCCAAAAGCTCCCCACCTTTGCTGTAAAGGGAAGCTAATAAGCAGTACCATTGCCCAGACAACGCCCCACTCTAAACAGAAATCATCCCTGGGAATGGCAGCCAGTGGCCAATAGTGAAGGGAGTCGTTCTAGGAACCTTTTCCCAAACAGGCCGGGGCAGTAGTCCAGCCTATAGCCCTGGAGACTGTCTTTGAAGTGCAGCTGTGCAGATAACTTGATAGTATTTAAGTATTTATATATTTATAGTCCAGCCTATAGCCCTGGAGACTGTCCTTGAAGTGCAGCTGTGCAGATAACTTGAGAGAATGGATGGATGGATGGATGGATGGATGGATGGATGGATGGATGGATGGATGGATGGATGGGTGGGCAAATTGATTCATTGCCCATAGCTGCATTGGCTAAAAGGTGCTGGGTGTGCTATTCTGAAAAACGTACTGTAATCTGTTCCCAACTTTAGCTGTACATAGAAGCATCAGTTCCCAGTTCTGACCCCAGCAGCTCTGAAGAAAGGAGCTTATAATTTCAAGGCATGACTTCTGAACCTGCATCTCCATCTTTTCCCATCCAACTCTCTTGTCTGTCCAGGAGATGTAGCCTGCTACTCCCCCCGTGCCACTCTGGGCTACCAACTAGCACTGCTGAAGCTATTCGAGGGAGCCGCCAGGCGGTCAACCCATCATGCCCCAAATCCAACTCTGGCTGAGACGTTCTACTCACTCCAGCTGTTAATTTCCACTGACAGGGTCATCAGAGGGAAAAGGAGAAACAGGCACCCCATGGTGCTAAAATTCAACTGTGTGACTCTGCCAAACTGATCACCTGCCGAATGCCACGGCTGACAACCAAATGCCTGAGCTTCATTTTTCCTCTTTCCTTCCAATCCATTCACCTTCCGTGTTATCTCTTTCAGAGTATAACCTTGTGGACAAAGGGCCATTTTATTTCCCATCTTTGTAAGCCATTCTGGAATACAGTAGTACCTCAGTATACGAACGGAAAGCCATTGAAAATAATGCCTCGGTTTACGTTTTTCCCCCCACAGTACAAAGGAAGTTTCCCCAGGATGGATTGTGCCTGGAGGTTTATAGCGCCGCCCCCATTCTCATGGCAAACCACATTTCGGTTTATGACTTTTTTGCATTACATAATGTCCCGTAGAACACATTAAATTTATAAACCGAGGTACTACTGTACTTCTTGAGTGAAGAGCAGGTTAAAATTGTGCTAAAGAAATATATTTTATATGCCATGTGTTCCGGACATTCCTCTTTCAAGCTTTCTTCTCACTATTCCCAAAAAGCCAGCTCTTACCTGCAAGAATTCACTGTCTGGCTGTTGACATTTCTCTTCTAGCTGATCAATCACAGCACTGAGAGAGGCGATCTCCTGGGAAAACTTTGTGCTGTGTTCTTTCTGATGCTTGACAATCTCCTTCTCCAGCTCATTCAGCTGAGCCAGCAGGAGTTTTTCCTGCTCCTCCAGAAAGCGATGCATTTGCTCAAATTCAGACAAAGCCTTCTGTCTCTCAGCTTCTGCTTGCCTCTGAAATGCAGAGATGAAAGCAGGAGACCAATGGGTCACAGCACTGAAAAGACGAGCAGATTTTTAATTTTCAAATGCGTCATGAAATTGTCCCACTGCCCCCCTAGTCCTCAAATAGGCTGAAATGAATCTGAAATTTTGAAATCTTCTTTGAAAAAAAGAAAAATATCCACTCTTCAATTTAAAATGGACAAGATAATTCAAGCTATACCAAATGAATTTAAATGTTGTCCTCAAACCCCTTTGATCCACTTTCTTAATAAAACCAGAAATTGGATTATGTTTAAGGATGCATTTGGGCAGATGGGAAGGCATGCATCTGATCATACCAGAAAGAATCACTTTGCAGAGAGTAATCTCCTTTAGAGCAACCCTTCTCTCTGCTGCAGAATTGCTCCAGCATGGCCTGAAAAAGGAATAGCCCCTACTGGTCAGCTAGAAAGGTCCAGCTTGGGCATAGATCAAGACTGGGCCAGATCACAATTCCCTGTATGTTAAATGATCATTCAGAAACAGAACACAATCTATTTCTTCATGCGATCATGTCTTTAGATCCAGGCTTAACTCATGCTTATTGTAGACCTGCTAAAAGTTAGTTATGATTAACAGGACTAATTGTTTTCAGCAACTCTACTCAAAGCATGATTAACTCTGAGTCTAACCTAATATTTTGAAATGCTGAACCCAATGTATAATTGAACTCCATGTCATCCAGTTTTGTTCTTCCCTCCATGAGTTAGTGGAGAATACATAGTGTGGTATGAAAGTATTTTTTCCTGTTTTTTTTTCCCTTTTACCATGAAAGCCTCACTGCAGCATGATTTTGAACAACCCCTCTATTTGCATTCAGGTCTTCTGCCATTCTTCCATTCAGTGGGGAGAAGTCTCGGGGAATCTCAAGAGTTCCCACACAGCAGTGGAGAGCTTTTCTCCCCACTGACTGAAGGAACCACAAGGGAAACAAATGTGAGTACTACTGTAGAGGGAATTATGGGGGTGGAAGTCCATTAAATATGAAAATCTCATCCATAGACGGTAGCAAGGTGACAAGATTCTTAAGTAGAGACCCCACTGTATGAAAATCTCATCCATAGACGGTAGTAAGGTGACAAGATACAGTACTGCTTTGAATGGGATTTTGCAGACTACCAATGGTCACTTTGTAGTAAGAGAAGAACACTTAATGGATTCTATACTAACCAGATAGTCCTGGTGTCTAAGTTCTCCAGCCAGATTTAATTCTAGGAGTTTCTCTGTTTCTTCCTTCAAGCTCTGCAACCGGATCTGGATTTCCTTCTAAACAAAAACAAACTGATTTTAAAACATTTGTTTTAAACAAATGCCCCTCATGGATACACCTGCTTTAGCACATTAAACATTACTACTATGATATGATAAAAAGCTACACAAAACCTATTCAGATCACATTGTGCACGAAACACATTCTTTAGCTCTTGTAATCTCCAGCACTCATATTTCCCCAATGTATAATATCAGTGATTTAGTAAAAACTAAAAGCTGGATCTCCCAGGCCCTAATCTAACAATGTAACTGCTATGGTTTGTTATCTCCATGTTCATAGGACAGATACAGCTCAGTACTCATCTCTCAAAAAAACCCCATCCAGTCTCCCTAGAACATGGGGCATTACCTCTCTTTTACTTCCCTCAACCCTCCCTGAGCAGTGCTTGTTTGTATAAAAAATTACTTGTTTGAACTGGTGAACCACAAGATTGAACACAAGCTAGACTGACCTGCAGGCTTTTTAAAGCAGGGAAATTCTGACTGGTCTTAAGAAGAGGAAGCTGGTGAGGGGTGAGTGAAAATATTCCTTGCCCACTCCAATGTGGAGGGCAGAGTGCTCAAAAGATAAGAAAGCAATTGGAAAAATTACTTTTTTTTTACTGTACTGCACACAATAATTCCCCATGGAATTATGGGCAATGTAGTGCTCAAAAGTAACTTTCCCAAGGTCTGCAAAAATTAAAGAGCATTTAGGAAAGCAAGCCAAGGTGTGAAGATCTGTTTTCAAACCTCTAGAGCTGCAAGAAAAAAAAAATCTCTTCCTCTCAAATGGGGTGGGAAGCTGTTTCTCCGCATCAGGGGCAGGAAAGAAGTGCCTGCCAGAGCCAACTGGCTGTTCATAACCTCTTCCTCACTGCCCAGTATTTCCCCATCACTTCCCATTCTCTGACTTTATTTCAATGTCTTCTGTGGATGGCTACAGACTTTTTGCATTTCAAGTCCCTGACCTTATGAGTTAACCCCACAACACATAATGGACACATCCACACATACCCCGAAACATATGTTATACAAATCTGCCAGTCTGGAAAGGCATGAAGTAGGCTGTGATCTGGGCAAGCTGATGCTAAAGACAATTTATTTAATGTTAAGCCCCACTGACTCCAGTCCTATAGGAGTCTGCCTCTAACTCACTGCATTTAACGGAGATCATTCCTTAGTTGCTTGGTTTAGGATTGCAGAGAATTTAAGTCTTTAGGGTTTTGTGGTTCTGTGCTGATCTATGATTGCTGAGCTCTGCACCACACTACAAATATTCCTTCCCTATTTAACCACTCCTTCGAGAAGCAGGCAGTTAAAGCAACAACTTTGCACATCCTATTGCCTCAATACCCTGAAAGATCCCAGGCATGGAACCTGTATATCTCCTGATGCAGTAAATGTAGGGCAACAACCCCCCTCACTCCACACACCCCCAATCTTTGCCCTCCAAAGGTGGACAGGGGTGAATCTGGATATAGTGGTATACTTCTTACCCCCCCCCCAATCTTTGTCCTCCAAAGGTGGACAGAGGTGAATCTGGATATAGTGGTATATTTCTGGGAGATCCATAGGGGATTACAGAGATTTCTGAGCCCCCCCCTTCCCTTGTTCGGTAAAAAGCAGGAACAAAGAGGCTCCCTCCCCTTAGCCCTACAGCTGCAATGAAGGAAACGTGGAGTAATTGAGATTTTCATTGGCTGGAGTGTGAGCTCCATTCAGTTCTGATGATCAAAATAAATTCCTGGGCTCATAAGACTTTAATTCTAAGCGAATGATTTTGTACCAGGCTCTGGTTGGTAGATCTCAGGGTTCTTGGGGGGAAAGCAAATTAGATGTTTTTAAATGGAATAGACATGCCCCAGTTCTATAGGAAACTGACCCCACAATGGTCTGCAATGCACCTTTCCACCATTTTGCAAAAGGGGACACATTGGGAATTCCAAAGAATAATGCTGGAGGAGGTAAGGTTGCCCCCACCGGTAGGCAGCTGTCTAAAGCCCAAGTTTAAGGGTCAGGGACTTTAATTGCTTACAATTGCATTTCTACTGCAAGGAAGGAGGGAGCTGTTCACAGGATTCCCTGCCTCCGGTGCCAAAATAATCTGTTAAATCTTGGGGAACAAGAGCAGAAAATGTTTGTAATCTTTCTAGATGTCTTCATCAGTCAAAAAAGCAGGTACAGGTAGAGGAAAGCAAAACGAATAACCGTTTCATTCCTGAAGCCATAATGTGGCTTGCAGGGTGCCCGGAGATGTGGCACTGAGGAGGGAGGGTCTTTTGCATTCACTTCAATGGGGCTCTGTTTGCTAATCTGACAGTGTGGTCTACTGGTTATCACAAGACCTTAAGATCCTACTGAGCTGGGAGAGGCAAAGCCAGTCTGCCTCTTATTTCTCTCTCTCTCCCCCCCCGCCTAGCCTACCTCACAGGGTTGTTGGGACGACAGAACAGGGAAGAAGAGGAATGCCCCTTTCCGCTTACGACCACATGCAACAAATAAAGTGGAATGCCTTGAGAATAAGAAATTCGGCAGCACTCCTTGGGAGGCCCCCCCACCGGCCTCGGGCAGCAAAATGTCTTGGGCGGCCCCGCCGGGGGGGGCTACCAACAAGCATGTTTCCCCGATAGTACCTTATAATCCTGGGCTGCTTCCTCTACAGGAAACACGGCGTGGCTTCGGTGAGCTCGGGACTCCCGGCAGATGCAGCAGATGAGCTCCTCCTCCTCGGTGCAAAAGAGCTTCAGCGCCTCCCGGTGCTTCTCGCACACCGCTTGGCCCTCTCCTCCTCCTCCTCCGGTCGCCTCCAGGGCGCGCAAACCGAGCCGCTTGGTGATTTCCACGACATTGCCCAGTTCCCGGTTGGGCCTGAAATTCCTCTGCAGGGCCACCTCCCGGCACTGAGGGCAGGAGAAATTGGTGCTCCGCTCTTTCCAGCACTGCCCGATGCACCCCCGGCAGAAGCTGTGCCCGCAAGCGATGGAGACCGGGTCGCGGAAATACTCCAGGCAGATGGAGCAAGTGGCTTCCTTGTGGAGGCTTTCCACCGGGTTCTCCATGGCAGCCGCCGCCGCCTCCGCAGCACCCGAGACGGCCGGGCGGCTTTCCTTCCCTCCCTCCTTCCTTCCCTCTTTCCTTCCCTCCCTCGCTCTCCCGCCCGCCCGGCCGTCGGGTTTCGTCGCTGGCGCTGATTGGCTGAGCCGCTGAGAGGATCCCGGCGGGCGCGATCCACCTGAGGGACGGCGATCCTTTGTGCGCCAGCGGGCGGGTGGCGCCGGGAGTGGGGGGGACGTTTGCCTCCCACCAGGAGACTGTTTTTTTTTTAATTTAAGTTCCTTTTTTGGGGGGGTTGCTACCGCCTGGTCCCTTCCAAAACTAGGCAAATTACAGATTGCGAGGACTGATCGCGAATTGCTAATATAAGTAAAGCCTGAGGGGGGAGCCAGTAAAAGACTGAACATATAATTTCATTAAGTGCCTGTACATATAAACACATAAGTGTCTGTACATATAATTTCAGCGAAGGTTTTGAGAAATTTAAAGTCGAGCCACCTGGGGTCCCCTTATGGGGAGAAAGGCGGCCTGGCTTATAAATAAAATAGGAAAAAAAATCGTGTTTGGTTGGTTTCTATGCCATCTTTCTCCCCCAGAAAGGGACTCATTGCTTTACTAAACTCCCTTGACTGTTTTGGGTTTCCAGAACTGTGTTCGCCTAGAAAGAGGGTAAAAAGTTGGACCGCAAAAGTATCTCCCTACTTAACTCAGTAAAGTACAGGAAAGGGAAACCTCCCCTTGCATGTCCCCCCCAAAGCAGTTTGACTTGCGTGCTCCATACAAATGAATTGACACATTTGCCTCACACATTTGGATGATGTAAATGAAATTATATAAAAAAAATTGCATCCTGGTATCTCAAAGGCCAAGTGTGAGGTAAGCAAATTCTGTTTATGCACAGCAAACTTGAAAATCTTACTTTCTAAAAAATTTATAACACTCAGAAACTCCAGGCAGGGTGGCCATCATGCTGGATGAAAGACTGGGAATTGTAGTCCCAAAAGTAAATTTCCTCACCCTTGCCGCTTAAAGAATTTTTCTATGATTTGCTGAGGCCGCAAAAAGTCTAGTGCTAATCCTGGGCAAAGTAATGTACTGTATTTCTTACATGAGCAAAGAAGGACAAGTCATGTGGTCACTACTGGTAAACAATGATTAACCAGCTCTGTTTCTTATATCCTGCAAAAAAATTCCCATTGACGATAAAAAACTGTAGTAGATAATCATAAATTTAGTTGTCTGAAATTCAAGTGGTACAGACACCAAATTATTGTAAGACGCCCAGAGACCTCTGGGTAGAGTGGGCAGCATATAAATTAAATAAATAAATAAATTTCCCTAGGGAGGTTATTCAATAGTCAGGTGCCATCACTGAGAAGACCCTGTAAAGTCACCATAGTGACCAAACTCCTGTTGCTTAGTGCAGTAAACTGAATTAGAGTAGGCCCATTGAATCCATAGGGAATTGGTAAATTCACTCCTCTGTAAGTTCCATGGATTCAAATAGACCTACCGTATTTTTCGCTCCATAAGACGCACCGATTTTTTAGGAGAAGAAAACAGGAAAATGTAATCTGTTTTCTTCGCTCCATAAGACGCACAGACTTCCCACCCCCCTGTTTTGTGGGGGAAAAGTGTGTCTTATGGTTCGAAAAATACGGTAATTGTTACTTACTTTATCATAACAGTTGCAATTAGAGTAGGTCCATTTGAATTAATGGAACTTATGGAGGAGTTAACACACCAAATCTCCATGGATTTAATGGGCCTACTCTAGTGCAATTTACTACATTAAGAAGCAAGATTTTAGCAGATGACTCTTGTTCACTGATAGGATCATGAGTAGGAACTCCCAGCAAATCTTAAAGTGCTGTTTTGGGTCCGAAGTAATTCAGAACTCTGCATCAGGTTATCATCAGCTTGAATTAGATCTTGCAGATGAATTAGCAGTTTTGTTTCTGATGCAGCTGTCAGAATCAACAGTCTGTTTACTGCATTCTAAGGTAACTTTAAATCATGTGTCACAACTTCACACCTGTTGAGATCCCCTTATTTTACCGAACTATTGAAGATCTGGAAGCTCTGTCCTTTATTCAGGGATCTGGCTGGGCTGACTTTCAGAATAATCACTGGATTTGTTTTTCCCCTCCAGAATCAGCATTATATGTCCACAGAATATGCTAATTGAGCTATTTTGGGGTAGCCCTCATTTTTCTGTTTGTTTCATGTTTTATTGTAAACTTTGTTGTTTTTTTCCACCCTTCCTGAAACTTTCCTTCTTATGAATGGGTGGCGTGATTGACTCATGGAACCTGAGTTTGCTACTTGTAGGTAGAGCTTAAAGAATTCTACACATTTCAAAGCGAGATCTCCTGACTGTACTTATAGGACGGTGTATATATATACAGTATTAGCACTTAATATTGCAACCTTCAGTACTTAAATATAAGATTATACCTTTATCAGATTACTAAAGAATCGCAAACATGAGCTAGCTTTCAACCTTGTACAGGTCTTTATCAGGTTGTGTACCACAGAGCTGTGGATAGTGCAGGAAAAAAACACATTAAAAATCATAGCCAGATCTTACTATATTCTTCATCATCTTAGAACTGTAGAGCTGGAAAGGACCCCAAGAATCATCAAGTCCAGCCCATTTCAGAGAGACACACTGTGGAATCAGGCTCTCAAACTCCAGCTCCACAGAGAGATACCTAAGCCATTCAGCGATATTAAAAAATTAGTTTCAAAATGGGAGCTGCAGATTCAGGTCAGAGATTGTTTCAGATTCCATCTTTGGAGTTGTTTGGAATTTATTTTTCTGATCTTTTAAAACAGTATAATAAAGGCATCACCTATGCTTGCATTCAGGTTGTATGCAACAACCACATGGCTTTTCTTCTTCTTTTGATAAGATCATACAAGGTTCTAGCAAATTAAGCTTGATCATTTTAAGCAATGATTAAAACAAAATTTGTATTTTGTCTATTCTGTGACGTTAAATGTTTGGGGTCTGGATTTCTTATATCCTAGATCTAACTGTTGAGATTATTCAGGGTGGGGACTCAAACTCTGAATGGTTCCTGTATGGCCAATATACAATGCATGAATTATTAAAATATAGTAAATTTTCCTTCCTTCCATATGTTGTGTCCTTATATTATTTGCTTGCCTGTTCTGAGATTCTGATTTTTGTCTATGTCTTCCACTGATTAGATTTCCCAGAAGACTTGGACATCTACACACTTGAAAGTTCTCTTTCTAGTCAAAAACATGTGGTAAACACAGGCTGCTGAATAATGTCTCACAGCAGAGATCTATTTTAATCTGGAAAAAATAACTATAGGCCTCTTGTAAATTCCTCTGAAGTCTCTCACTTCAAGTCAGCAATTTGAGAGGAATACAACAAAGCAGAAGTTACTCAATTGTCTCCTCTAGTCTTCTTTGTTGTTGTTTAGTCGTTAAGTCATGTCCGACTCTTCGTGACCCCATGGACCAGAGCACGCCAGGCCCTCCTATCTTCCACTGCCTCCCGGAGTCTGGTCAGATTCATGTTGGTGGCTTCGGTGACACTGTCCATCCATCTCGTCCTCTCTCGTCCCTTTCTTCTCTTGCCTTCACGCTTTCCTAACATCAAAGTCTTTTCCAAGGAGTCTTCTCTTCTCATGAGATGGCCAAAGTATTGGAGCCTCAGCTTCAGGATCTGTCCTTCCAGTGAGCACTCGGGGTTGATTTCCTTCAAAATGGATAGGTTTGTTCTCTTTGCAGTGCAGGGGACTCTCAAAACTGTCATCCAGCACCACAATTCAAAAGCATCAATTCTTTGACGGTCACCATTCTTTATGGTCCAGCTCTCACTGCCATACATTGCTACTTTACTGGAAAAACCATAGCTTTGACAATGCGTACTTTTGTTGGCAAAGTGATGTCTCTGCTTTTTAAGATGACATTTTCTTCTTATGTTCTATTATCACAAGCAAGGAAGTTTTCTTGTCACTTAGAGGTATTAGTCATAGTCTCTATCTTCAGTAATTCTGGCTATGTGTTCAAGGTCTTCTCCCTGTGAATTCCAAAACTGCTTTTGTTAAACCTGGACTATTCTAAGTGGGCTGAGGCTCCAATACTTTGGCCATCTCATGAGAAGAGAAGACTCCTTGAAAAAGACTCTGATGTTAGGAAAGTGTGAAGAGGAGAAGGGGATGACAGAGGACAAGATGGTTGGACAGTGTCACCGAAGCGACCAACATGCTTCTGTTTAAAACATTTACGTATATCCTGCTGATTTCAGCAAAGGCACTAAAATAGCCCAATTATTTTCTTCCATTTCTGTAACAGTGAGCTCATTGGCTTATACTATATTTATGAGCCAATGAGAGTCAATGGAATTTTAACCATACTATCAAAACCCGTCCTTCTCAATTCCCTCCTTCAGCATAAAAACCAGTTGAACCCACTATAAGCCAATTAAGATAAGAACTATTTTCATATAAACTGTAATGCTAACATCTTTAAAGCAGAGGTTATTTCTGACTGCAACTCCCAAGGCTGGGGAATTCTGGAAGTTGATGGCCCAAGAAAGTAGCATTTCCAGTTGTATATGTGGTATCTTAAGGACAAAATCAGAATCTCCACATAACAATTTCATGTAACAGGGGCATGTACAACCCCACTGCCTCAGGCCCCAGAGAGCTAATCTTGCTCAGATAATTGTTGATTGCTGTTATTCATACTTACATTCACACTTATATGCGGTTATGCATACAGTACTGTACTGTACTTTCTTAAAAATTGTATACATAGCTCTCCTCTTCCCTAATTTGTCCTCACAACAGCCCTGTGATGTAGGTCAAGCTGAGAAAAAGTGACTGGTCTGAGGTTACCCAATGAACTTCATGGCTAATTGGAGACTTAGAGCCTGGATCTTCCTGGTGCCAGGCCAACACTTTTAACCTCTCAGCACCCTGGCTTCCTACTAGGAAAACTGTTGGTCTAACTTTGTACCAGGCGCCACACAGAGATGTGTGGTCAGGTCTCCTCTTCTGACTTTTTTTTCATTCACTTAAAAGGAACCATCAGTCCCTTGATTTGAGCAGAGTGATGGCACTGGGGCACATAGCAAATTGAACCACAGCAGGTAGGAAGAAGTAAATTCCCCCTTCCCTTAAGATATTATTTTGGGTCTTTATCCCTCCACTTCACCTTTTAAGAGGTCCATAACTCAGTAGTAAGAGTGTGTTACTTACAGACAGAAGGTACAGTACTACCGTAGGTTCAAACTCTGATGCGTCCACTTGAAAGGATTAGGTAGATGATGATGCCAAGATTCTCAAAGACTGGAGAATTTCTGTCAATGGGAGTGACAGAATTTAGCTCATTGTATATATGTACATATTCCTACACATACTCTGTTTCCCCTAAAATAAGACCTAACCTGAAGATAAGTCCTAGTATGATTTTTCAGGATGTCCGTAATATAAGCCCTACCCCAAAAATAAGACCCAATTAAGTGAAACCCTGCCCTTCAGTGCAGCAACTAGAAGATGACATGACTGTGTTTGAATAAATGTATATTGCTGTACATGAAAAAAATAAAACATCTCCAGAAAATACCTAATGCATTTTTGGAGCAAAAATTAATATAAGATCTTTCTTATTTTTGGGGAAACACAATACTGTATATATATAGCATCTTGAAAGGGAGGGATGATTTAGAGTAATAATCATAATTACATGCTGTCAAATCTATTCTGATTTACATTTTATAGGTACAGAGTACAGTATTTAGAACCGGTTTACCACATTCCCTTCTTGTGGGGGTGCCCTGGGAACTGTGCAGCTTGCCCAAGGCTACACAGGCTAGCTCTTGACTTAGGATGCACGCTGGGGAAACTGAAATTTCAACCTCTAACATCTAGATACCTCAGCTATCCAGCCAGTGAATAAGAGCAGCAAAATCTGGTGCCTCTCCGATTGTTGGACTACAACGCCTATTAGCCCCCAACAAGACAGGACAATGGTCAAAATTGCCGGATCTGTGCTGCAAGCTTACAGTATTTGGAAAGGAGCAATTGTGTGGGTGAAAGGGGGGGAAAACATCCCCTCTGCCCCTATGGGTGCAGTCAAAATAAGGGCACCCCACAGCTGTCTGTAGGTCAACAAAACAACGTCAGGAGAGGGGAAAAGCCCCCACTGAGCCTGAACTTCCTCCTCCAGCGATCTCATTACTTCCTGCTTCCAGCCTGGAGGAACGTCCAGTTTCCAGCCCAGCCTGACGAGGTCTCAGCCAATCTGTGCAGCTTGAAGGAAGGGACGGAGGGAGGGACGGAGGGAGGGCGAAAGGGGCAGCCCGTGACACGTCCTTGCAGGCGTGGGAAAGCGAAACTGAACTCGCGAGTTCCTTGGCTGGGAGAACCATGGATCCGAGCGCCCTTTTAAAGCGCCTGGGGGAGGAAGCGTCCTCCTGCCCCATCTGCGGGGGGTGTTTCCAAGACTCCGTGTCCGCACCCTGTGGGCACACCTTCTGCCAAGGCTGCCTGGAGAGAAGCAGCGGGTCCTCCTCCCGCTCCCAGTGTGGGAAAATCAGCCCGCGGGAGAGCGGGGCCGCGAACCCTCAACTGGCCAGGATCACCGAGATCCTCCGAGGTCTCGACCTCGAAGGGCTGGAAGGGGAGCCGGTGTGCGAGAGACACCGGGAACTCCTCAAGCTTTTCTGCCAAGAGGACAAAATCCCCATCTGTCTGGTGTGCGATCTTTCCAAGGAGCACCGGCATCACACCGTGGTCCCGGCTGAGGAAGCCACTCAGGACTACAAGGTCGGTTTACACATTTATGACGTCTTTTTAATATATTATGTATCATCTTTCTCTTTGATATATCGTGCCTTTAAGACAGGGGTTCCCAACCTTGGGTCCCCAGATGTTCTTGGACTACAACTCCCAGAAGCCTTCACCACTACCTGTACTGGCCAGGATTTCTGGGAGTTGTTGTCCAAGAACATCTGGAGACCCAAGGTTGGGAACCCCTGTCTTAAAGGGTTTTGGATGGGAGGGACCTTTCTGGACTGGGGTTGCTGTCAGTCAAGTCAGCAGCAGCCAGTTGTTTCCCTCAATACCTCAGATTTTCCCCCTGCTTTTTTCCACTCGACTAGTATTCTGTTTTGTTAGAATGTTAAGTATTCTGTCAAAGTACAGTATGTTACAGTAGTTATGAAGTCAGAAATGAACAGTTTGAAGTATTCTGTCAGTGAGTTATGAAGCCAGTCTTTTAATAAGGTAAATATTAGTCAGTTAAGCTCAGTAATGTAATGTTAACATTTCCACAAGATACATTTTTATATAAGAAGAACTGTGAGTAAATGGAAACTTTTTATGTACTGTATTCTTATTCATTTCAGAGCCTCTGGGTGAATGTATCAAAACAAATGAGTGCCAGATAAGGTGTGGTCTACTGAGAGAGCCTTTAGTTTCAATCTGTTCATTTTCCTTGTACCAAACTCTGCCAAACCAAACCCTCAAACTTTTTTCCATTAATTGAAGGTAGATTATGTGGCTCTCTGTTTCCCTCTTTTTTATATCAACAATAAGCCCTGTGGATAATTAATCAGGCTAATTGTGAGTGACTGACTCCAGATAACCCAGTGAATTTCATGACTCACCTAGATCTCTCAGATCTTAGTCTAGCATTCTGAGGATTACACTGCATGTGTTCCCTCTTCCTCAAGATAGCCTTTCAAGTCATGGGGGAACAGGGAGAAATAAAAGGCCAAGGCCAGACCTATGCTTGGGAAAAAATAGTGTTCCCAATGACTCCAGAAGATAATTTCAAACTTTTTTTTCCTGACATATTGGAGCTGAACACCTTTAATAATTGGTACTTTAAAAGGGCATTACTGGATGACCTCAATTGGCACAGGGGCTCATATTTTGTCCTTACATTCCAGAATAATTAGTTCAATTTTGGGCACTATGCATCTTGTGTTAAGTGCCTGGGTTGCACCATTTGGGATGTTTCCTAGGCAAAAACTTTGCATTAACTGGGCATAACAACTAGAAGAGTTCCTATAGTCCTTCCAGCACACTATCATTCAGTACATAAAGCATCTGAGAGTAGTCAACAAGCCAGCAGGAACAGAAGGGTTCTTAGAAATATTACTTGGCACACTGTGATTGTGGTGTATAGGTTTATGTGATGCGGGATGATATAGCAAGTTGGAGAGTGCAAGATGCCAGAGAAATGCATGCCTATAATAAATAATATTCCTTAAATTACCCATTCCTGTTTGATAATTTCTCTCTTCAAAAGGAACAATTTCAGAAGGAACTGAAAATGTGGAAGCAGAGAAGGAAAAACCTTCAGGCACTGAAAGAAATGGAAGACAGAAGAAGCTGGAAACTTTTGGTAAGTCCAGAGGAAGGATTTACAGCAGCCCCATCCAAGCCTGTGCCAAAGTAAGGAAGCACAGAGAGGTGCCCAACCTGTCCTGTGCCCTTTTGGGACACTATGACAGAATCCTTTTCTAGGTCTGTGATGCAAGCAGTAGGAAAGCCCCAGGAAACGCACGTAGACGTGCACACCTCAATATGAAGGGGATGTTCCTAAACAGAGTGATTCTGGGAAATTGACGGCTGTGCTGAGGATTGCAAAAGGCCATACAATCAAAGAACTGCACGCTCCCTGCACCTGTAAGGGTAACACTACATTCACTCTGCAAATGCTGAAAGACTAATGATAAGGATGATTAAAAGTATACAGGTTAGGGTCAACTTAACCTGCAAGACTGAAACCTTCTAGGCTGCTGTGGGCCCCTTGGTTTCTGATAGTATCATGCATTTTCATATTTCCAGAATGAATGAATGAATGAATGAATCAATCAATCAATCAGTCAGTCAGTCAATCAATCCATGGGGCTCTGATCTGCACTGTGGACAGCCAGTAGCTATTTACTCCACCCTGTAGTCACCCAGAATCACACAACTATCACTGATCTGGTCTTGAGTTTTAGAGCCTTTGTTTTCAGATAGTGCAAATCCTAGGTCTACAGTTCTCACAAACTGGCAGAGTTGTGCACTTTGAAAAAGAAATAATATTAAGGTCTTTATGTCTGCAACAGCTACTCAACCTGATTCTTTCCCTGCTATCAATCAATCAACACTTATTGGGAATGCAGAATCTGAAGTTTTCTGTTAATGGCACAGAAACTGTGTCAAGGGGGAAAAAAGGTGGGGAAGAATTACCATACTGGTGTGATGCTACCAGTGAGTCTACGGTTAACGTGGGCAACCCACAAGATATAGGTGGCCTCCAAGGCTGTTTTAGTGGCATCTAGGCATGCCCTAGCTCTGTTCCCTAAATGCTGCCTTTCCACATGACTTGAGATTGCTATCCTTTTTAAAGGAGGCAAAACACTGAGAGCTAGTACACAAATGAGTTGTATACAATGAAAAAGAAAACTTGGATAGAGATTGGCAACTTGTGTGTCTCCCCCCCCTCCCCCGGTTACATTTTCCATCATTCCTTAATGCAAGTACGTAGTTCAGACTGAGGCTGATGGCACTTTTGGAGAGTTATAAGTTGTCTGCTCCAAAATTTAGGGTTATATTTCTGTCTGAAATATAATCATGTGTATAACACACACACGTGTGTGTGTGTGTGTGTGTGTGTGTGTGTGTGTGTGTGTGTATGTATGTATGTATGTATGTATGTATGTATTCTATCTTTCCTACAATGAGCTCAAGGTGGTTCTCCCAGTTTTATCTTCACAAGAACCCAGTGAGGTATGTAAGAACAAGGAAAGTGGGTGACCCAAAGTCACCTAGTGAGTTTCACAGTTCAGGAGAGATTAGAAAATGGACCTTCAAAGTCCCCACCCAACATTCTTAACCACTGCATCAAATTGTCTCCATACTGTCTAGAGGTATTTTTTTCTGAACATCAGGGATTTCTCCACGTCCTTTGTAGAGAGGGTTTAGGATATCCAAGCCTGTGCCAAAGTAAGGAAGCACAGAGAGGTGCCCAACCTGTCCTGTGCCCTTTTGGGACACTATGACAGAATCCTTTTCTAGGTCTGTGATGGCAATTTTGCATTTTTTGAGCTTTGTAAATATGCCCATTCCTGCAAATGGAGAACCTCTCTAATGTGGGCGAGGGGTGGAAGCTACACCATGCTATCATTTTCAGACATGTAGTAGCTAGGTTGCTCTTACTTCTGCCTATAAGCACCATTTCACCTGTTGCCCAGCGAAGGGGCCATACGGATCTCAGGAGGGAGTTTATTCCAAAGGCTTTTCTCTTCCCAACTTCTTCTTTTTCAATTTGCTTGTTACAGGAAAAGTTAGGCAGTGAAAGGATGAAGATTGTTTCTGAATTTGAGCAGCTCCATCAGTTTCTAGAGGATCAAGAAGAAGTCCTGCTGACTAGGCTGAAACAGTTGGAGAAGGAGGTCATCACAGAGGAGAGGACCGTCATGTCCAAGCTTTCAGAAGAGATTTCCAAACTTAGTGACCTCATCAGTGAGATGGAGGAGAAGTATAAGCAGCCAGTGAATGAATTCCTGCAGGTGAGAACATGGGTCTGTTCTCTCAGGCATCGCAAGAGGCTACAGAGTCTAGACAGGTTCTTTCAAACGATTATGTGGGGAGACAGAGAAGAAAGGTTACATTTACACTCAGAATTTAGGAAAAAGCTTAAACCACACCAGACTAACTTAAGGCTTGGAAGAGATCCAAGGATAATCTAATTTACACAACCTTGGCAAATCTGTGGGCATGGCAAAAGTTACTTTTGGGACTACAGATCTCACCATGGCCGCTTCTCCTTAATGCTGACTGGAGGATCCTGGGATCACTCAGAGAAAGTGGGGATATGCAGTACTTTATTAGTATAAAGGTGGGAGGACAGCCTTTCATAAATAGCTGTTACAGACATCCAGAGGACTATATGCAAGATTTCATTGACTGTTTAAACAGTAAGGCCGAAACATATCTTTTAAATCTTCAAGTCTATCCTGTTAAATGTACATGTAATGTTATTAGTGCTACTGTTTTGGATTGGGGGGAGTGGTTATAATTTAGGGTATTGGTTTTTTTTCCATTTGGGTAGCTAGGGAACCAGATTTTTAAAAAAAGAGAACAAGTTTCCTGTATCTTGAATAGTTGTTTAGAACAGGAAATTTCAGCAGGTGTAGGTTCCATTAAAAGAAACACCCGCTGTAATTTTCTCTTTTAAGGTACAGTAATCCTGTCTTCTTTTTTACCTCTGGTCACCCTGCATTTTGGGTGCGTTTCTGATCATTTTACTAAGCAAAAAAGTTATGGCTTCTCCTTTTTCTTTTTGTTATGTATGAATGAACTCCCTAATTTATATTTTCAAATTAAAGAATTGTGCAGAAGAAGCAAAGAAAGGGGAAGAAAGCAAAAGGACAAAGCTCAAAAAAAGAGAGAGAGATTCTGAGCAAATGATATTTGGAAGATTTAAAGTTTTGTTTTCACTTGGAGAGAGATCTTAAGGGGTTCATTGAAAAGATGTTATCCTACATACAAAATATTATCTGATAATACCCTGTTTGGGAAGGACTAAAAGCAGGAATAATTGGAATGATCACAATCTCATTTTCTGTTCTCTCTTCCATCTCTAGGACATTAAAAACACCTTAAGTAGGTATGTGATTCCTCTGCACCTGGTACCATTTGATGATCTGTACACCCAAGCCTAAAGAGGACAATATCCTGTTTGAGAATTTAAAACCAACATAATCAACTTGTTCACTTGTGTTGCAGCTAGTGCAAAATCAGAGGATGATTGTTTCTATTGTTAGTAACCTTTGGTGGAACTTACCTGGTCTAGTTAAGTTTACATAATACGTATAAATCTCAAATGCCATCTTTCAAACATAAAGAAGGAGTTTGCTAGTTTTGGGTTAATTAACTGATTTGGAAGAACACATCTTTGTGTACTAATGGTTCCCAACCTTGGGCCCCCCAGAGGTTCTTGGACTAAAATTCCCAGAAGCTTTCACCACTTGCTGTGCTGGCCAGGATTTCTGGGAGTTTCAGTACAAGAACATCTGGGGACCCCGTTTTGAAAACCACTGGGGTAGATTATAAGAGTCCTAGTCCAAAATAAGTAGGTTTTCCAAGCTCTGGTTGGGAGATGGCAGAGTGGAAGGGTGTCAAAGAGAAAGTCTCCCTCATTCCCTTTCCCTAACCCTGCTCCAGCACCTACGGTATTGATTTATATGATAATAATTGCATGTCATCAAGTCAATTCTGAGTTATGGTGACCCTTTCCAGAATTTTCTAGAGGAAACTCAGAAGTGGTTCACTATTCCACAGCTCCCTTTGAAGCTGATGCGGAAACTTCAGGTGGTGCAGAATGCGGCGGCCAGACTCCTTACTGGAGTGAGAAAATACCAACATATCTCTCCTAGAGGAAACTCAGAAGTGGTTCACTATTCCCTCCTTCTGGAATCATCCTGGGACTGTGAAGCTTACCCAAGGCCACACAGGCTGGCTCTTCTTTCAGGAGGCACAATGGGGAATCGAACACCCACTCCCTCCCTCTGTCTCTCTCTCTGGAGCCGGACACCTAAGCCACTGAGCCATCCGGTCACTTCTATTATAAGTCCCTGCTTATTTATAATATTCTCACAGAGCCACTGGCTCATTCTTCTGTGATCTGTATGTTATCTCCCATGCTTGGAAAACCTTGCCTCTGATAAATCTCGGGTTGAAAATAATCTTTTCTTCTTCTAGGTGTGAAGAATGGAAGCCCCATCAACCGGTGGGGCATTCCCCTGAGCTAGAGAAGAGACTGAGTAACTTCTGTGAGCAAAGCACACATCTAGAAGAAATCCTAAGGAAATTCGAAGGTATCAAAGCATTAAAACAGGAGATGCATTTGACTGGGACATATGGGGAAACAGGAATTTCCTCTCAGCCCACCTCTGAGGGTAATAAAATTAAAAGAAAGGTGCTTTAGATTTTCTCATCCAAAGTGTACAAATTCAGAACCTAACAGAGGCCTATGGCATATCTAAGAATGTGTGGGCTGTAATCCTGTTATTAAAAATAATTACACATATTTTTTAAAATGAATAAAAATGTACTTAAAAGTATCACATATAAATGCAACAAGGCACAATCTCATTTTAAAAAAAAATCCTCTCAGTCACTGAGGGAAAGCTTACTTGAAGAGAAAGGTCTATAAATGCAACAAGGCACAATCTCATTTTTTTAAAAAAACCCTTTCAATCAGCCAGTCACTGAGGGAAAGCCTACTTGAAGAGAAAGGTCTTTGCCTGCTTGCAGAAGGACAGCAAAGAAGGGGCCAGCTTGCCCTCCTGTGGGAGCGAGTTTTAATAGTGAAGAGAAAGGTCTTTGCCTGCTTGTGGAAGGACAGCAAAGAAGGGGCCAGCTTGGCCTCCTGTGGGAGCGAGTTTTAATAGTCTTGAGAGCAGCAACAGAGAAGGCCCTCTCCCGTCTCACCACCCAACGTACCTGAACGAGTGGTGGGACAGAGAGAAAGGTCTCTCCAGATTATCTTAAAACACAGACAGGCTCATAAAGGGAGATATGGTCTTTGAGATCGCTTGGACCTAAGCCGTTTAGGGCTTTATAGGCTAAAACCAGCACTTAGAATTATGCACAGTTCCCAAACAATGGCTAAAATCACCATAATCATCATCTTGGGGCTGCAGAGTTGGAAGGAACCCTATGGATTATTGAGTCTAGCACCTGTCAAGGACGTACAGTGGGGGAATCAAACTTCCAACCTCTGTCTCCACAGCCAGTTACCTAAACCCCTCTGTAGCTACACAATTGGCATCACTTTTGTAGGCAAATTCCCCCAAGTTAAGAAATCAACATAGCCCTTATCAGCTGTGCCCCAAGTCATCCCATTTAGTGTGTGCAGCCAATAATGTCTATAGTGATTTCTGAATTTGGGGTGGTTTGCCTCTGAAAGTCATGCCATTTTGTTATAACAGCATAGATGACTGCTGGGTAGCTCAGTGGTTATAGTTGTTTGGCTGTAGAGCCCGAGGTTGGGAATTCTGATAATGTCTATAGTGATTTCTGAATTTGGGTGGTTTGCCTCTGAAAATCATGCCATTTTGTTTTAACAGCATAGATGACTACTGGGTAGCTCAGCGATTTTAGTTGTTTGGCTGCAGAGACTTGATTTCCCCCACTGGGCCTCCTTGACAGGGGGCTCGACTTGATGATCTCTAAGGGTTCCTTCCAGCTCTGCAGTTCTTGTTTGTTGGTTTATTTGACTTTTATACCACCCATCTCGCTGACAAGGCCACTCTGGGCAGTTGACAATGTTATGACATATTATATGATGAACAGCAATTTAAAAACAATGAACTGTAGAAATCAACGTTAAACACATGCACAAAACAGCATAAAAGTTCTATGAGGTGAATGATGATTATCAGAGGATTTGGGCTGAAGGGGTAGAACACTTTTGGAGGATCAAAAGGGCTATGAATTATAGTGGGATCCTGAGGCACATCAAGGCTGAAGAGAGGGAGACGTCTGTGACAGACCTGCTGGGAGCAGAGGGACATTGTTCTGGAAAAAGAGTTCTTTGGGGGCATTTTGCTTGTTTTCCCCTTTTTTTTCCCCTAGAGGCACTCTCAACTGAGCTAGAAAGCAGGTCCTTGCTTGACAAGGAATTGCGAGCACGGAAAGGGAGAAGAAGATTATTTATATTGCCTGATGCTGAAGTGGGAAAAAGAGGCAGAAAAGGTCAGTTCTGACATCTACATGTTCTGACCTTGGGCAGAATATTGTTGGCATAACTTTGCACTGGCGTTACCAGGATTGGGCATAGGAAACATTTAAACTTACAGGAGGTTTTGTATCTCCCAGTTTTTTTGTTCCTGGGCTCCCCTTTGCCCCAGAGAAACCTTTGGGCACCTCAGGAGTCTTTAACAGGAAAATAAAAATCACTGCTGGATCACTTCATCTGGATCAGTACTGCCACAAAAACTCACATTGAAAAATAGTAATTAGTATTCAAGGTGCCACAATGTTTTTGTCTTATTTTTTTTCTTTTTCTTTCTTTATTGGCCTGACATGCTGGCACAGACTTAACACAGCTACCTCTTCCCAAACTCCCCCTTTTTTTTCTCTTTTAGCTGTGATGTATGGATGGGGATGAAGAATTTAGCAAAAGTGTAACTGGGGAGGGAGGGAGGGTTTAAGCCCCAGAGCACACACAGCCAGCATGGACAACGCAGCAATATTCTTTGCTTCTAACACTCACACTCTTAATTTTTCTCTACCCCTCCCCTCCCCTTCCCTCCAAGTGAATGTGACTCTGGATCCAGACACAGCGAACCCTTTCCTGATCCTCTCAGCAGATCAGAAGAGCGTGAAAGTGGGGGACATGTTGCAGGACGTACCGGACAACCCAGAGAGATTTGACCCTTACCCATGTTTGCTGGGCTGTGAAGGACTCACATCAGGGAGACATTACTGGGAGGTGGAAGTGGGAACTGGGACGTACTGGGCTGTGGGCTTTGCAAAAGAATCTGTCAAGAGGAAAGGCAGAATCACCCCTAGCCCTGAGGAACAGATTTGGGCTTTGCAACAATATGGGGATCACCTTGAAGCCCTGACCTATCCAGTCACCATCTTGACCTCATCCAGAGGCCTCCGGAGGATTCAGGTATTTGTGGACTATGAAGAGGGCCGAGTGGCATTTTTTGATGCTGACACATCAGCATTGATTTATCTTTTTTCGCCTGCTGTTTTTAGTCAGGAGAAGATCTTTCCGTGGCTCTGGGTATGGCCAGGGACTGAGCTAAGGCTTTACCAGTGAGTTTGCATCCTGGTATATTTCAATGGAGTTGAACAACATGGACATAAAAAAATGACTTCTCTAGCCATCCATAGATGTAGTCTCTATGACACGGGAATGGCCTTACATTGCCTGTGTATTGTGTGCAAGCATTTGTTTGCTGAAATGTGCTGCTGGCCATGTGTTGTAAAATCCCAATCTTCTGAAAAGTAAAGCTCAATCAGATGTACCTAGTGTGCTAATAAATCATATGCAAATCACATGTAAGTTAATTTTAATTATGCTTTTTTAAAAAAGGCAACGTTAGTGGAATAAATAAAGTATGTAAGTTTGATTTGAAAATAAAAGATAGCGCTTATGAAGTCCATAGGATGCTGGTATGTAGAACAAATGCAACTTTGCATTAAACAATCAGGGTTTTAAAACCACAAATAATGAAATTCTTCTCATTTGCAGGTGTTGTTCAGATATTTGAGAAACATCCAGGTGAATAGCAAATCTACCTTTAATAGTATGTCTAGTTTTGGCTTTAGAGTCCCACACGCACAGGCCTGTCTCTATGTGGTGTTTTTTTTACTGGAGATATTAATGGGACATTAAACAGCAGACTGAAAAATAAACACATAGCAGAACAAAACTTTTATTGTTACAGCATTCTAAGGATCTGGAAAATAGAAAACAACAGGTTAGTACTGAAACAATAACGTAACACTAGGTTATGAACAGAAATCACTGGCAATAAGATCTTCAGCCATCCTGACAGGCCATCAGCCACAACATTCAATTTGCCAGGAATTTGCAGCCCATTAAAATCAAATCAAAATCTTGCAAAGTTAAATACTAATGCAAAAACTTTTGGTTATTCAATTTCCTGTAACCCACGCAAAATCGGACCTCATCCAGAATTTCTCCTACAGCATTTTTCTTAGAATGACAATTGGGCCCATGCAGAAACAATGGGTCCAATCACTCCTAATTCCAGCATCTTTCGAATCTCCTGTTCAATTTGAGAAGCATGAACTCCCACAGTTCTGTATGGAATGGGCCGCACTGGCAAGTTGTCACTGGTGTTGATTGTATATTTGGCTAACGTTCTACCAGGCTTGTCAGAAAACACAACCTTGTAATATTCCAGAATCTGAGTCAACCACTGCTGTCCATCCTCTGAATCTGATTCAATGTACATAATTGCCTTGCCAGTCCCCAGCATAAAATATCTACAGGCTCTCCTTCACTCCAGTTAGGGGTTGCCTCCAAAACTGCTAGGGGTTGAAAAGAATTAGTTGAGAGGCAGAGGGGTGATGGATTGATTGGTGGGCTTGCCTGCATTCCTCTCTCCTGCTCCTCATTCCTCATTCCTGCTCCATATCGTTGATTGGCGGTGCATTAACCCCTTATGGTCCTGGACTCTGAAACGCTGATCGCTGGTGGAAGAATCCCTGTGCAGAGACGTCCCTCTGGAATTCCTCATCTGTCTGAAGAACCTCTTGCTGGTCTGGGAAGCTACTAAATTTCGGTGGTTTGGCGGGAGACTTGGAGGGCTGCTTGCTCTGGCCAGCTTGAGGGCAATCCCGTCTCAAGTGGTTCCCTCCGCAGGAGTAACATTTTATAGGGGGGGCGGAAGCAACGGGCTTCTGGCTTGCTTCCCCAGGGCGAGCATACTTAGTTCCTCCCGAGGAAGCCTTGTCCTGTTTCTTAAACTGCTCTGGTTTTCTGTGCTGCTCCAAGCCCTCCTTCCCCGCCGCAGCTTTTTGGCGACGCTCCTCGGCTCTGAACGCCCACAACTCGTCCGCTGCGAAAGCCAATTCTTGCAAATTCGTCAGGTGCTTGCCCAACAAGGCAGACTTCATCTCGGGAGGGACGAGGTTCAAAAATTGCTCACACAGGAGCAGCTGGCGCACCTCCGCGTAAGAGCCCGCGCCGGCGGCGTAGAGCCACTTCTCAAACGCGTGTTCCAATCGAGCAGCAAAAGCGGAGAAGTTCTCCCTCGGCTGCCTCATCATCCTCCTGAAGTCTTGCCGCAGGCCCTCCGGGGTGTAGCCGAAGCGGCGCTGCACCAGCCGCTTCAAGTCGCCCCACTGGGGGTCCTCCCCGGCTCTCTGCCCCAAAAAGGCCGCCAACTGTCCCGTCGCTTGAGGGCGCAGCAATCTGACAAAGAGGGCCTGAGGCGCGCCTAGATTTTTGCAAGCCTGCTCGAAGTCAATTAAGAAGGAAAGCACATCTTGCCCTTCCTGGAAAGTAGGGAGGTCCTCACGGTCAAATTTAGCCAAAGAAGCTTTTTCCTCCTCCCTTCTTGCTGCCGCCTCCCGAAGTTCTCCTTTCCCTTGGGCGAATGGTAGTCTCGTCTTCGCAGCCAAAATATCAGCCACCATCTGGGTGAACAACAGGTCGATCTGGGACGGAGGTGGAGGGACTGGGGCAGGAGTCGAACCGTTCCCTTGGCCCGCTGGATCGCCCCGGTCGTCTGAATCCCCTCCTCGGCCAACTCCTTGGACACCCGAGCCCCGATCCGCCTGGGCTGCCTCTGGGGCTGCACGCGGTCTCTCTCCCTTGCGGGCGGCGTCCAAGGCTGGATCCACCAAACTTTCCTTGAATCTGAGGTTTGGGATGGCCACCCGCCCTGTTAATCTGGGCCTGGCATCTCCGGTCCTGGGGACAGGTACAGGTCCATCATCAATCAGGACGACCCTTTCCACATCTCTGGGCAGAAGGTCGCTACGGGAGGGTAAAGGAGCCCCTCTGCCTGCCATCTTGCCTAGCAAAATAACAAACGCAAAAAAGTAAGATTATTTAACTTCACAGCCTGGATATGCACAACTGTATCTAATGAAGGCTAGTCACTTTGGATGCTAAATGACCACTTTTATTACCCGAGGTAGGTCCTTTTGGCCTCAGAAGGGCGTCGTTCCTGCTCCATGGACAAACCCGACCTTAAAAGAAACCCTTGCTTACTTTCAAAGCAATCAACCAATGACTGTGTGCTCATTCAAAGCAATCAACCATTGACTGTGTGCTCATTTAGACAGCACATCAGACTGGCTAGGTAGGACCTCTCTGTATATCTTTCCTATCTCCATTGGATCTAGGTGCAATCCTGCTCTTCAAGAGACTAGTCCCCTGTTGAAGAATTATATTTGTTTTTATTTGGAAAATAAAGTAGTTTCATGAAGTTACAGGTGCAGCTTTAAAAGCATAAAGCATAATCATATCCAAGCAGTTACCATGATTCAAAGAAGCTTACTCTTCTTAGGTAAAATTAGAACAATTGGACTAAGCTAAGTAATCATCTTTGCTCTCTCCACATATTAGCACGGAGAGAAGCTGAGCTATTTCTCCCCACTCTTCTCCTTTAAAATACAAACCTACCTCTCAGAACAATTGGAACTAAGCTAAGTAATCATATTTGTTCTCTCCACATATTAGCACCGAGAGAAGCTGAGCTATTTCTCCCCGTTCTTCTCCTTCAAAATACAAACTTACCTCTGTCTCTTCACAATCCGCAACATCCACCATCAATTTCCCAACAGCAACATGTCACATACATGGAACAACCATTTCTCTACATTTCTTTGGACCACCTTCTTTCTGACCCTTTCAAGCTGTCAACCAATTGGGATCATGAGGGCGTAACCCAGTTCACCGCCCACAAGTCTTGAGATCTGCAGGTGTCTTATCTCGTTCCCAGTTAGGAGGAATGTGGTGTTTGGTCTCCCTCTGGATCGTCTTAAAACCTTGCTTCTTATCTTGGTGCCAGGCAGAGCAAACTTGGAACAACAATCCAATGGCACATTTCAGTGGCTTAAATCCAAACTATACAGTAAACCTAACAGACTCCATCTTTGTATGACTACAAGTCACAGTTGCCCCCTCTAATTCCTTCTCTCTAATTCCTAACTTGTAGCAAAAGTGGTATCCAACATCGGACAGACCATCTTTGTATGACTACAAGTCCCAGTTGCCCCCTCTAATTCCTTCCCTCTAATTCCTAATTTGTAGCAAAAGTGATATCCAACATCGGACAGGCCATCGTTTGCCTGCTCAACATTTCATTGCATCTGCTAGAATAGGCAGCCACTCACCGCCACAGCCTGTTCCTAAAAACTGACTTTTCTCCAATCTCTGCTCTCTTCTGGTATTAACATTTAAATGGACAGTGAGCATGGGGGTGTTTGTACAACAAATTATAATAACCAGGTTGGGGGCATCCTGTTCCTCTGGAACTCCCAGCAGCCCCAGCCACCATGACCAGGATAATGGGCAAGATAATGGAACTGACATCTTTAGGGTAGGAGGAGCAGGCACCCCATCTCTGGATTATAGGAAAAGAAATAGCAGGGGGAGGAAGGATTCCTCACTTCCCTTTCGAAGAAGTCGACATAGAACCAGACTGAAGAAAACAGGACCTCATTTTGTGAGAAAAGTGGGAGGAAGAAAGATGCGATTCCAGGGTGCCATTTTGGAGCGGGGGGGGGCAAGGGGGAAAGGCTGTTTATACGTCGAGGAAAAACTGGGTCCCAATATTAGAGAATCGTCATCAATCTACTCATAAGTTATGTCTGTCAGACGTATCCCTGTGTTTAGGATTTCAGACATACAGCTGCCCATCAGGAGTAAATCTGGAGAGACTCTATGGGTTTACTCTAAACGACGTGTGTGCGCACCATTGCAGTCTTACTTCCATATTTACTCCTTGATCCGCAGAAGCGAAGCCACGCTGTGGGGAAAAAAAGGTGGCAATTTTTTTTTCCTGAAAGGCCAATATTGACTATTCTAGTGACCAATCAAGACATGAAAAAGTGAGACGCCTTGGACGGGGTTTTGCTCGCGAGTAGCCACTAGTTCTGCTGAAATCGCTCTCCTCGTTTCCCACCTGCCAGGCTTTTCCTGCCCAGAACGTGGGAGAACTGGAGGAAACCTTCAGTTCCTCAGAAGGAGGCTGCAAGCAAGGCGCGGAAGCGAGGAAAAGGAAGGGCTGGGGCCCCCGCCGTCTGGCCAGAAGGACAGGAGCAGAAGGCTTGTGCCCGGACCACCAGGAGCCCCGCAAGATCTTCTGCACCGAGGATCGTGTCCTCATCTGCCTGGTGTGTGAGAAATCTCGAAAGCACCGGATTCACCTCGTTCTGCCCACTGAAGAGGCAGCCGAGGAATATAAGGTGAAGCAAGAGTAGACTTTCTCTTGTGGAGAAAAAAAAATCCCTTGAGATACGTAGTTTCCTTGGTTTGGTTGTGTGTGTGCCCGATAACTCACAGGATTGTCCCAGCAAAGCCCAATCGCTTCATTTTGGGGGGATTCTGGACTTTGTAGTCCAAATATTTTTTTTTCAAAACTCTGGGTTACAAAAAAGTCTCTGCGTGCCAGACCTCGTTTTTGTTTTGTTCTTAGGAATGTCATTAGGCAGCGTATTCGATTGCAGGTGCTGATGTTAAGATGGGCTACAATCAAGCTGCCTCTGACTTATGGTCCAGAAAAAAAATCCCAAAGGTGGTCCTTCAACAGAAAAACAAGGGCCAGTGATATTTTTTATTAGACCACTTTTTTTTAATTAACAATGGTAGCATCTGACCTTCATCCGGCTCTGAATCAATAGATTGTAGAATAGTGCAGGAAAAAAAATGTGAAAGTTCTTTATGTCATGGTAGGTGTCTCTGCCAGGGTGCAAACACAAGTCAGGAGTATAAAGTTTCAGATTCTACCCCTGATGGCCATTGGTTGGGTTCTGTCTCCCAAGAAGGAAAAGGAGACAGAATCGAAAGGAAACGAAAAGAAAATAGTCAGGATTTTCCACTTCCTTCATTGCCTTCTTTTGAAACTCAAGGTCCCTATTTGGCCAGATTAATAAATTTTATTCGAGTTCTCCAAAAGGGGGACAGGCATGCTATAAGTCAGAATTGGCTTGATGGCCCGCAATGATTTGGGCACTGTCTCCATTTAACTCAGTATTTCATGGTTGAACTGGCAATGGCTACCCATGTTTTCCACTCTCAGGTCTTTCCTTCATTCTCTTTCCACTACTTGCATGTCTTTTAACTGCCCTTCCCTTAGAGGAGGCTCAGTAGCTCACTGACTGACTTGGTGCCATGTAAAAACATTTGCATTCCACCCAAATGTTGAAGGCACAATAACCTTGTAGATTTCTGTTGGTTGTTTTATACTGATAGATTACCTAAAATTGTTTTTGCTTGGGTTGTTTATTGTCTCTACCCTATCTAGGGCAAGATGATGACATGCGAGTGGCATAAGGACTATAAGAACGGTTGCTTGTTCAGATGACTTCCAGATGAGTGATAAATCTAGATCAAAATTCTAGCTCAATCTCCCTAAGCCAGTGGTTCCCAACCTTGGGTCTCCAGACGTTCTTGAACTATAACTCCCAGAAATCCTGGCCAGCATGGCTAGTGGTAAAGATTTCTGGGAGTTTTAGCCAAACATCATCTGAGGACCTCTGGTCTAAATCTAATTCATCACCGTTCTAGGGATAATTCTGCAATAGATCAAAGGTTCACCTAGTCCATCATCCTGTTTCTCACAGTGACCAAACAGGGTGCTGCCAGACCATCCCAAGATATTTGACTCTGAGCCTTTTGTGCTGGCCTGTGAGGGCTTCCGCTGGGGGACGCTCAGCTGGGAAGTGAAGGTTGAGCAAGGGCAGAGCTGGGCGGATTGGCATTGCCAAAGGGTCCGTGAAGAAGAAAGGTCCCATCCGCCTCAGCCCTGACCAAGGTGTCTGGGCTGTGGAGCAGTGCTGGGGCCACCTCCGAGCACTGACCTCCCACTGGGTGGCATTTTTTTGATGCTGATCTGGATGCCCCGATCTTTACTTTTCTCTCTGTCTCTTTTAATCAAGAGATCTACCATTGGTCCCCGATCTTTACTTTTCTCTCTGTCTCTTTTAATCGAGAGAAGATCTACCCTTGGCTCTGGGTGGGGCCAGGATCTCAGCTTCTGCCTCTGAAAGAGCTTCTGAAAGAGCAGATATGGGGAAAAAGGATATGCTTAAGTCTTACTCTAACTGAGGTTTCTCTACTATTCCTGGGGTGTGTGTGTCTAAGACCCCAGAATAGAAGCTATGCAAGAAGTTTGCCTATTGTTTCAAACAACAGTCCCGCCGCCCCCATAACACTTGTTAGAACTTACAGGGTTATGACATCTGGGCACATCTGCTGCACAATCATCCTTTACTCTGAAAGGGTCACCACTCATCATGAACTTTCCTACATTTTTGTGTGTGAACATGTGGATTAATGATGACAATTAATGTATCTGCATTTTGGTACTGTATATCTCTGAAAGGGTCACCACTCATCATGAACTCTCCTACATTTTTGTGTGTGAACACGTGGATTAATGATGACAACTAGCGTATCTGCACTATATATTTAGAGCATTTTGGTACTGTATAGTTAGAGCATTTTGGTACATTTAACAACCGTTACTCCCACCTTATTGTCATTTCATATGATATTTTTAATTCTGTGCTGGAGCCCTCTTCTGCTCTTCCTGAACCACAGCTCTGGCAGGGAATTTGAAATGTCTCATAAAATTACCATCTATAGATTCTATAGGAAGGAGACATGGCTGTCAAAATATCAGCAAACTGCTGTAACTTTATAGTGTAGGTACAATCAGTGTTCTTTTTTCATCTTTTTCCAGACTGCACTTGTGGTTATTTAATTTGTTATTGTGATGATTATTTACAATAAAATGCATAGCCCTACTTTGGCCAGCGTGGACCACAATTTGTCCTTATGTTTTTAAACAGTTCTGTTGGAAGGGCCAGAGCCCCCTTAGTGATAAATGGCACCCCTTTTAATTAAGCTTTTGGTCCCTGCCATGTGGGTGGGGAAGAATTTAGTGGACATATGTATTGCTTAATATCTAGTTGGGGTTTAAGATCTAAGTTACGCTTCTTTATATTAGGTTAGTTTTGTGGGTCTTGCCTTACCAGTATTTCTGACTACTGCTGTTTGTATCATTACCAAATTAAAACAAGAATTGTCTGTTCAAATGATTCAATTCTTTACAATCAGCCCAGGTTTTGACTGTATGTATATATGGTATAGACTGAGTGCATATGTTGAATTTTAATTTTAAAAAATAGATAAAAGAAATCTTTACAAAATAGAATTTCTTAGAGAGACTAATTAACGACAATGTGTAAAACAAGATGTTCATTTTTCAGAGGGGCAACCATGTTGGTCTGTTTCTGCAGTGGAAAAAAAACAAAACTATTGGCAGCAACTTTAAGATGAACAAATAGAGAACATAAGATTTGAGACAGAGGTCTGAGTAAAGTCAGCATCTTCTATTATTATCTTGCTGTTTCACAAGTACATTCTCGAAATCACGCAGCCCCCATTGTGTGTCCTCTGCAAATACTTCGGAAGTCATTAATAATCACGTGCAGTCAAGTCATTTCTGACTTAGGTCAACCACTTTCATGCTTTTCTCAAACGTGGTTTACCATTCTTTTCTTCCGGGGGCCTCCTGGGACTTTGCAGCTTGCTCAAGGCTACATAGGGCTGGCTCTTCTGGGAATGCAGAGTGTGGAACTGAATTTCATAACCTCTGGCTCCGCAGCCAAGTATCTTACTCATGACACTATCCAGCCAGTTCCAGGTAGGGATGCCTATGAGTATTTCTGCTTCAGATATTAAAAGAGCTTCACTGATTTTAGGTCATATTATCTTGCACCAAGTGCCGATTGCTGCTATGTCTCATGCAACAGGTGAGCCCTAGCTGGAAATTGTATTTATTTTGCTAGGGTATAACTTGGTACACTGTAGAGAAGAGCTACACAACATATGAGTTAGAACAGTATGAATTGTTCATAGTACCAATCTTTCTGGTATTTCCGGATCCAAACTGATAAGACCCTTTGAACATAACACACCAGGCATAGCAGTAATAATACGAAGAAATGTCTGGATGATTGACATTGCAATTCCAGGGGATGCCAGAGTTGAGAATAAAGAATTGGAAAAGCAAACAAAATACAGAGACCTGACAAATCGCACTGCCAACTTCTGGCTCCAGATACCTAAACCATTCAGCTATCCAGGCAGCCTACATATTAATGGTGATGAACTTATGATGTTAGCCACCTAGAGTGGTCTCCAGGCAGCCTACATATTAATGGTGATGAACATGATGTTAGCCACCTAGAGTGGTCTTAACTGACCAGATAGGTGGGATATAAAATAAATAAATAAATTATGGCAAGCAGATTTAAATCAATGAAAACAATGCACAAGGATGCACATTTTGTCTGGGCCTCAGGGGAAGCCAGGAAAGTTTCCTAACTCTCAGCTACTCGCAGCTCTTGAGTTTCTGAGAGTTAAAAGCTTGCTGCGCTGCTGGAAACCAGCCAATTAGAAAGGAATCAGGAACTGAGGGCCTTTCCCTTCTCCGCCTCTGCTTGCAGGCAGGCAGGCCGGCTGGCCGCGGGGGCTCTTCCTTCTCCCGGGTGCGGGAGGCGCGCATCAAGCCATGGAGGAGGCGGAGAGCCCCGTGCAAGGCCTCCAAAGGGCCGCCGTGTGCTCCATCTGCCTGGAGTACTTCAAAGACCCGGTCTCCCTCGAGTGCGGGCACAATTTCTGCCTGGGCTGCATCACCCAGTGCTGCGAGCGGGCCCGGCGGCGGTCCTCTTGCCCCCATTGCCGAAGGCGGGCTTGCAAGAGAGATTTCAGGCCCAACCGGGCACTGGCCAACCTGGTCGAGATCGCCAAACGCTTCAAGGCGGAGGCGGAGGCGGCGGAGGCCGGCGGGCGAGGAGGGCTTTGCCAGCGGCACCAGGAGCCCCTGAAGCTCTTCTGCGAAAACGACCGGGTCCTCCTCTGCGTCGTCTGCGACCGCTCCAAGGACCACCGGGCGCACGCGGTGCTGCCCGTCGAGGAGGCGGCCCGGGACTACAAGGTAAAGTAACGCGTGTCGTTTGGCAAAGGAACGCGCGCGGTGGCAGCGTTGGCGGTGGTGGCCGCCCCGCTCGCCTCTGCCGTGACCGCTGGGCGATGGAGCCGCAGAAGGATCTGGGCGACGAGAGTTTCATCTTTTTTGGGATTCTGGGAGCTGCAGTCCAAGCGAAATAAACCAATTTGACAAGAAAATCATTCCAGGCGGCATCTGCATAACAAAAAGGGTGACTGCCAGGAAGAGAAACGCTGTGATTATGGTAGTTATTCCATGATTTTAAAAATAAAAACACTTTTCTTTTTTCCTTGCTGCCTACCTGCCTTCCGTCCTTTACTTATTTTACTTTATTTATTTATTGCATTTCGATGTCACGTTTCTCCCGCCCATTGAACTCCAGGCAGCTGACAGATCTGCTCCTGGTAGACATGAAAACTCCTAGAACAATTTTATTGATGTGGCTGCCTGCCTGTTTGGACTGTCTATCTGGTCCTGGCTATGGGGAATCACACCCTGATTCTGATGATTTTCAGATCCTGATGTATGTGTGTGCGTGTGCATGTGCGTGTGCGTGTGCGTGTGCGTGTGCATGTGCATACATAGGACTTAAATCACTTTCTTCCTACCGTAGGGTCACTTTGAGATCCTTATATTTCCTGTTTCCGTTGCAAGCACTGATGTTGCAAATGTATTCTGTGGTGGGACCTGGACAAATTGGTTCAGATTATGAGAAAGGAGTTTTCAATTAACTGTTAGCAGCAGCTTCCTGGTGGTGAGAGCTGTTCAATGTAACAAGCTGCCTTCAAAGGTTTTTAAACAGAGGTTGGATCTGTTAGGACTGCTTTAGCTGTGATTTCCTGCGCTGGCACAAGTTAGACTAGATGACCCTCTAGTGTCGCTTCCAACTCTTCAGTTCTGTGACTTGTTTATTATAGTACTTAATAATGTATATGTATATCCCATGTTCTTTTCTCCGGTGAGTTTAAGGTGGCTTATGTGGGTCTCCTTCTTGTATATCCCATGTTCTTTTCTCCGGTGAGGTTAAGGTGGCTTATGTGGGTCTCCTTCCCAGTTTCGTTCGTTTAGTCGTTTAGTCGTGTCCGACTCTTCGTGACCCCATGGACCAGAGCACGCCAGGCCCTCCTGTCTTCCACTGCCTCCCGGAGTTGTGTCAAATTCATGCTGGTCGCTTCAATGACACTGTCCAACCATCTCATCCTCTGTCGTCCCCTTCCCAGTTTATCCCACCACAAAAGGAGGTCAAGCTAAAAAAGAGAGAGAGAGACTGGTTGAAGGTCATCCAGATAGTCCTGTGGCTCAGTGGGAACTTGAACCCAGATCTCCAAAGTCTCGGCCTAACACTCTCACCACTGTTTACACTGGATGCTTTCCTTCCAAGGGAAGGTGCAGGAGAGTGTGATCCAGATTGTAGTGACATTGAAGAGCAAAACTTTCAGACCACCATCACTAGAATCTTAATCCAAATTGAGAGACCCTCATAGCTGGTTATTTCTGTTGGGAGCTTGAAAAACAGCCACATGTAGTTTGAATGGAAGCTTGTTTCTTTTCCTGACCAAATAATTCCCCCTTCTCTATCCTTTCCAGGATCAGATCCAGAATCAGTCCCTGAGCCTAAAGCAAGAGAGAGAAAAGCTGCAGGAGCTTAAATGGGCAGCTGAAAGGACAACCAAGGAGGAACTGGTAAGACTTTGTGATGGGGGTGGTGGTGGTGGTGGAGAGAGGTGGGAAAGGCCTTCACAGACTGTTGCTAGATGAACCTCCCCCATGAACCAAGCAGATGATCTGCCTTATCAGAGTTTTCAGAACTTGCAGATTCAGTGCAGGGCCTGCCTTCATGGTATTTCTGACCCTAGATTGTCTTGTAGGAGTCCTGGATGTCATGCTCCTGTTTCCCTAAAGCAGTGGTTCTTAACCTTTGTTACTCAGGTGTTTTTGAACTGCAACTCCCAGAAACCTCAGCCAGCAGAGCTGATGGTGAAGGCTTCTGGGAGTTGCAGTCCAAAAACATCTGAGTAACAAAGGTTAAGAACCAGTGCCCTAAAGCAGTGGTCCCCAACCTTGGGCCTCCAGATGTTCTTGGACTACAACTCCCAAAAGCCTTTGCCACTCTCTGTACTGGCCAGGATTTCTGAGAGCCCAAGAACATCTGGAGGCCCAAGGTTGGGGACCACAGTCCTAAAGGATACAGAGGGCATTCAGTCAGAGAGCCTCCAGGCCTCTACTCACCTCTAATTGCTGAGGTGAGTCCTTCAAGCTCCAGCAGAGCGTGGCGTAAATCCCTTCCAGCAAGTCTGACCTAAGAACAACATCTTGTGCTCCCTTAGCACCTTACTTTGTACTTTAAAAGTACAGGCACCTGGGTTTTGTGATTCCTTTGAATCCACAACAGCTCACAATGAGGTAGGACTCTCTGTTTAGTAGCAATCCTGTGGCCTTTCCACCATCTGGATTTAGGCTTATCCAAGTACAGTACTGTTCAAGAGACCAAACCTCAAGAAGTTTTAAGATTAATTTTTTATTGAAGAAATAAAGTTTCATAGAAATTCAGTTTGTTGCTTCAGCGTAGCATTTCAGTTATATATTCAAAGATCATTGCAGTTAAATAAGAATAACTAATTCCCAGTTAAAATAAAAACATCTAAAAGCTAGGGTGGCTTTAGAGGGTAAGGCCCCCTCTTCCTTACTCCTTCTCTCCACATTCTCAAAAACAGCAGTCTAAATCCTTCATCTGACTTAAACCTTCATCTCCTCTCCTAAGTAGTTTAAAGGAACTAAAAAAGAACAAAAGGAACTTTTCACATAGTACAGTCTCCATTTTTCTACCTCCTCAATATCCTCCCTCCTACATTGTCCATTCAGTTATTTAACCAGTTAGAATTTAGGGGGTGTAATGGCTTTCTCCACCCCCTCTTTCCCATGAGATAGTCCAGATGTTGTTTTTCTTCTCCGAGTTAGGCTGTAATGTTGAGTCTTCTTTGTCTCCTTATATCGTCCCAGACTGTTCTCGGCACAGGAAAAACATTCTCACAGCTTCTTCAGAAAAACACACCACAAAGTCCTTCAAGACATCTTTACAAAGAACCATTCTTACTCCATGTTACAATTCTCATGACTACATAACCCATTCAAACTACATGCTTTAAAACCACATAACTCTGATCATGACAGGTGCTGTTTAATCCTGATAACTGTTAGAATGCTCAATCTTACATACAAGGCGCATAAACAAAAACAAAAGCACACGTTGTTCATATGCTGCACCCTGAATAATATGCATAATATGAGAACTATATAAATATCTGAGATGAATGACTAATGTCTAAGAAAATTTCATCATATTGCAATCCAGTTCTCAAGTGCGGACAGCTAAGTGAAATAGCAAAAATTGAAACCTGGGCAATAACAACAGAGCTTATGTATTTATGTATTTATTTAATGTACAGTATATACAGTCCAATTAATGCCTTCATATTATTCTGGGTGGTGTACAAACAAGCAAAACCCTCAAAACCCCACCTACTTCATCCCTATAAAAACATAATAACATAATCAAAATGGAGATATAACCGGGTCAAGTGTGGTAATCTACAGAAATCTGGGTTCAAGTGTTAATTTCCTTAGAATTGATTTATTATTTATTTTATTTTATTTTGTTAGATTTATACCCTGCTCATCTGGACCAATGATCTACTCTGGGTGGCATTAAAAAATTTAAAAAGAATAGAACCAATAAACATGAATCCAAGATGTGAATATATAAATATTAAGATACAACAGGAGGGAAAGCCTGCCTAAATAGCCAGAATCTGATTATCAAGATTCCTTTTTCCCCCCTTGTTATATTATAGAGGGGACATGGACATTTTAAATTCATTCATCTTTCCCAATAAAGGGACTCAAGGTAGTTTACTAAACATTTAGAGAAATATATGGCTGAAAAATCCAATACGTTGCAATCCTGAAGAAGGAATGAAACTCAAAACACAGGCTCCTATTGTGCATAGCTCTGCCTGTGCAGCAGGAATGAGGTCCCTGGCCACAGCAGCTTACCACTATTTAAAGAGTTCCCTTCTTGATTTTGTGGCATGTATCCTTGTGTAGATGCACCCTCAAGTTGAAAAGGGAACTCTCTAAATAGTGGCAGTCCCTCATGGCTGGAGATATCACCCCCACTGCACAGGTGCAGCTGTGCAACAGGATACTTACTGGCCATTATCATGTTAAAACCACCACCAAAACAGGAACCTTTTAAAAGCAGGTGAAGAAAACTTTTAAAAAAATCAACACTTCTTCCTTGACAGCCAGTCAGTTGCTTGAACATGAAGGTCTCTGCCCACAGGTGGAGGGCAGGAAGGGGACCAAGTTTGGCTCCCTTGGGGGAAAGAATCCGAAGCCTGGGAGCAGTGACTGAAAAGGCCTTGTGTTGGGTCCAGCGAGGGCATCTGTGGGGGTGGTGTAAATCTATTAATTATATCTGTGGTTAGTTTTTGCCTGTGTGCATTTAAAGAAACACCAAGCTTAAGATTCGGGGGGGGGGGCTTCCTCCCTTTCCGCCTGCACAAATACCCCTTGCTCACCAGGACTGCCTGTGAAGATAACAGGTCTCAGAGACAGGTTATAATGACAGGTTTAGTCTTTCACATTTCCCAGAAAGGCACAGAACAAAGATCTGAAATACACAAATAAGAAGGGGCCCGGGTTTTCAGTACTGTATCAGCTAATTCATATAAATTTGAAGGATCTTTGTTTATCATGGGGCACCTTGCTGAGTATAAATTAAGTAACAATTACCGCAGTATTTGGGACGAGCATTGAGATGTCAAGACTGTGAAGTTATGTGTATATTTCGGACTTGCCTTTCCCTGAGATGCTAGGTTGTTTTTCAAACTTGCGAAGAGTATTTTCGGTTTTCAAAAATGTGCCGTCTAAATTAGCACAGGCCATTTTATCATCTCATTCCATTGCATATGTGAACCAGACTGTAACATTTCCAGGTCTTCACTGTTAGTACTTGCCTTCTAATTACAGGAAAAGTTGAATGCTGAACGAAAGAAGGTGGCCTATGAATTTGAACAACTGCATCAGTTTCTTAAAGAAAGGGAACAGGCTCTTCTTGAGGAACTGGATGAACTGGAGCAAGAGATTAAGAAAGGGCACAAGGAAAATGAAACCCGTTTCTCAGAAGAGATGTCTGTCCTTGGGGACCTAATCAGTGAGATGGAGGAGAAGTGTAAACAGACAGATAGTGAATTCCTTCAGGTGGGAACCCAAAGCTTTGACAATAAATGTTGAGTAAGGGATAGTAATGGTCAAAATATATAGGCCTAGACAGAGTTTTGAAAACCTCTTGTCTTGGACCATGGTACACAGAATCTACCAGACAAAGCTGCAGGAGGCTGTGTATTTTAGTCCAAAACAAACAAACAAATAAACAAACAAACAAACCCCAAAACAAACAAACAAACAAAAAACCCAAATGCTACAGCTTCTCCATGCATAAGACCTGGCTCAGATTTGGGAATACAGTGTTGATGAGAAACCTGAATTCCTAGTTCTCATGGGTTGTAGGAAATTTGAAAATAATTTTGGCAAAGATATGAAGGGTCAGGCTTCTGGAGGCTTTTTTTAAAAAAAGCTGGATTTCATGTTTAGTGCTGTTGTGTTCTCAGTGGTTATCTTTGATGAATTTGTCTGTGTCCTAAAGTAGCAGTCATTACTGCTACTTTAGTTAATTTTCCATTGTGTGAACAAGTATTTGCTTGTCCTGTACATATTGTCAAATGGTTTCGTAGACTGACCTCCAGATTCTAATACTATGAGAGAAGAAGAAAATGTCCTCCTCTCTCCATCAAAAATAGATCTTATTTTTGTTCCCATTGAGAGAAACAGAAGAATCAGTGCTGCTTTTGCAAGTCCCTGTAAGGACAGGATGATTGAATAAATGGTCATGGTAAAATAATCAGTACATACTCTTTGTTAATTATTTAGCCAACACAAGGAATTTAAAGAAGTCATGAGAAATTACGTATAAGATGAAAGTACAAATAGGGGAGGTACTCTATTGTACTGACAAGAAGACTGAGTGGATAGGCCTAGGTAAGAATGAAGGAATTTAATGGGACACTCAGAATGCCCACAGGGAGGTTAGGAAAAGGGAACATATACCAAATAAGGATAGAAATAAATAAGAGTCTGGGGTCTAGGAAAAGAGAGGAGTGGGAGATGTAAACAAAGGTGGGACTTCCTGTGATCAGTTTAGGCGCATTGCATAGGCTGTGCACTTTGGAGTACCTGACCAATGAGGAAGCAAGGGAGGGACCATACTGCCGGGAGTAGGGGATAAATATCATGCTACCTGTAATGATAGGTGTGCCTACCCAATTAGGACACCCACTTTTGCAAAAGTGCTTTTTAATAAAGGAGAGCTGCTTGTATTCATGGTTGTCTGGTTACTGCATTTAAGTAACAAGGTGTGAGCATTTCTCACACCATTAATGTCTCTTAGGACTTATGTGCAATCAGGGGAAAAATGCATTCTCTTAGATTAGTGCTGTTGCATCCACAGTAAATGAGGTGGGCAAAAATCCTGTTGAAATCTCAGAGCATGGAAGGGCAATTAATAGCACAAGCAACATGTGCTACTTTGTGGGCTTTTCATCATGTGTCCTGTAGGTTCAGTCCATTGTGGGACAGCTTGTGCAATGGACCACCCATAGAGGGCAAGAATCATTTATGCAGCTGCACTTAAGGTGTATGGTATACTGTAATGGGCTTTGAATTGCAGTATTTTGTATCCTTCACTGGAAAAAATGTGTTTTGGGGGGGCATGTTCCCAATTAATTCTTGTTCCATAATTTTACCATCAGTATTAATTACTAAATAAGTGCAACTGCCCCTCCAATGAGTTTAGAAGAGATTACAGCGAGCAGAATTGTGTTTTAGAGCTGCTTTACCAGAACAGTAGAATAGAAAATGTTTTTTTCTACATAGTTCCTGAACATGGATGTTCCTAATGGGATGTGGCCAAGTAACAGTGTCACTTAGGGGTGTACTCACTTTTGTTGCCAGCGGTTTAGACATTAATGGCTGTGTGTTGCATTATTTTGAGGGGACAGGGCATTTACACTGTTATACAAGCTGTATACAGTACTCACTGCTTTACATTGTAGCCAAGTGTCATTTCTTCAGTGTTGTCACATGAAAAGATATACTAAAATATTTATGAAATGTGAGGGGGTATACTCACTTCTGCGATATACAGTTACTGTATATTTCCCCAAACATTAGGAGAGTGACTAGATGGAAAAGAGAATAAGGTTCCTCTACTTTACAGTATTTAGAAAAGGATATGTCAGCAGATGCAGCTCTTATCGGAAGCTCTGTCTGCTGAAATGTCTTCCGTCCTGCTACTGCTAAAAGTGCAGGAGCCCAGTATTCTTTCTCATCTGGTTATCCAAAGTATGAGAGACCCTGCTAAGAAGAAAATTAGCCCAGCCTGCTCTGCCCCTTTAAGAGGTTTGCTGTGGGAGAATCTGCAGAGCCAGTGCTGTTTCTGTAGAAGAAAGAAGAATTATCAACTGCTATTTGGTGCCAGCTGCTTTTATAAAAGGGGGAAGTGGGGAGGGAAGAATTGCAGATTTGCAGTTCTTATTCACCTTTTTTTGGGGGGGGGGGTTTAAATTAAAGAGAGCCAGAAATGTCTGTCCTTTGTCAGTTGCAGGATGATAGTACAGCTGATTGCAAGCAAGCTCTATGGCTCTGTTCAACTGATATTTAATGTTAGATGTATTGTTAGCATGGCAGTGCTTAAGATTGGGTAAAGGAAGTAGAATCTACTAACCAGTGATGAGCATTCTGCAACCCTGTGTTGTTGAACTCCCAACAGCCCCATTCAAAATGGTAAGGGATAATGGAATTTGTAGTTCAGCAACCCTTGTAGATGTCCATTTCCCCCCATTCCTACACATAGTATACTCTCCTGGACTCTGTTATTAACACAGTGCCCTTGGAATGTGAACATGTTTGTAATGTGGATTCTCTCTTTTCTCCCTTTGTGCACCTCCAGAATATCAAAGAGGTATCCAGCAGGTAGGTGGCTCTTTCCAGTTACTCTTTACGAAAGGTCTGAGGATACCTTCATGTGTCTGCATCAATCATTTGACAGAAATGCACAGTCGTTCACAGTGAAATGTCTGCATTGGCTCCGCTGCACGTTAAATGCATCAGCAAGAAGCAGCCATGGGGTCACGAAGAGTCGGAAACGACTAAGACGACAAATGGAATTTGTAGTTCAGCAACCCTTAGAGATGTCCATTTCCCCCCAGGAGTTAGAAGAGGAGGCAGTTATCAGGGTATGACAGATAATACAGTAATTGGGCTAATGGCAGAGATAGGGAAGATTTGACTTTACTAGTAATGTGGGACTGTAGCTCCCATCATCTTTTACCACTGGCAGTGCTAGCCATATCTGATAGGAACTGAAGCTCAACAAACAACATGAGGGCCAAAATCCAGCCCCCACCTCTCTGGATTTATGGGGAATGTGTCCTGAATGGGCAAAAAAGAAGCAAATTATGTCACTCAGAAATTAAGATGGTTTAATGAAGTAGAATGTGAGAATGTGGGCCTAACACACTAACCAGAAAAAAGATGCCTATGAGGAAAATAGATAAGAGGAACTGAAGTATTCTAAGCAGTGGGAAAACAGTTTGATAAAACAGACTCGAAGGCCAGGCAAAACAGTCAAGGACACTGAAAACATCCAGATGGCCCACAGAAAGGAGAACCTGCTGAACTGACTTCCAGTGTTATATGTGATCCCAAGCCAAAATGATCTCACCCAGCATGCATGCAAGCGTAATTTCAACCTGAGTCTTCTGCTCCTAGGTCTACGAAAGGGCAGCATCATTTGCCTTTGGAGACTTCTCGGGATTTAAAAGAGAAAATCAATACATTTGCTAAGAATACGATATGTCTGTCAGAAACTCTAAAAAAATTAAAAGGTAAAGGAAAATTGACCAAGTCCTGATGATCTCAGATCCTTTCAGTGGGGTGGGGTTAGCCCGAGGGCTTCATTTTGCTTTGGCTAATTCCTTGTGATAAAACAACCACTTCCTCCAAAAAAGGAAATTGTTTTGTTTCTTGTTCCCTTGAGGGAAAAGCTATCTCAGCAGTAGGCAAGAAAGCAAACAATAGTTTGTTTTAGTCTCTGTTGTGTGTATACTTTGCTTTTCTACCATAAAAGGCGCTAGAGATGGGTAACCACAGTGAAATACAAATTAAAGCAAATTCTTGGTTTTAAACATAACATAAATACAAATAAAATTAAAAACACAGTATAAAGCTAGTGCCTGAACAGTTTGATTCATTGCAACAGCCAACCAGAAATGATTTTGTTGTTATTTCCTGTCAGAGTTTATATTTAGAAACATAGGCAAAAGTATTTCTTAACATGCTTATCCCTGCAGTCAGGAGAGGTATATGGCAAAAAACAAAAAAACAAAAAACAAAACAAAACAGTAAATGTGGATTCTTTATAAGGGAGGATCTAAAATGACCCTATAAAGCCCAGTTTGAAAAAGCTTCCCCACTGCTTTTTTTAAAACTACAAATCCTAGTCTGGCCATACTGGCTGGGGGATTCTGGGAATTGTAATCCAAAAAGTTACTTTTCCAGTTTCTAGTCGAGACATTTTACTTGTGAGAACCTAGACTTCGTAGAACTGTGAAGGAAATGGGGGAAGCGTACTGTTTTGTGGCCATTTCAGTTTCTCTCAATTTCAGACTCATGTTTGCAGTATTGTGGAAATTCTGCTACAAGAAAAAGGACCAGAGAGACAGAAGAATTGGATGGGAAAAATTAGGAGGCAAGGAGAGGATTTAACATTTTCATCCTGAATTTGTCCTTCTCCCAGCCCCCCTTTCCTAAAGGGGTAGCATGGTGGTCTACTCTGCACAATTTGTGATCATCCAGATGTTCTTGGATTCCATCTGTCCCAGCCATCTTGGCTGTGGGACAAGGGTGATGGGACTTGGAGTCCAGCAACATCTGGAGGGTTACAATTTCTCCATTCCTACAGGAGTTTTGTTTTGTTTCTCGTTCCCTTGAGGAAAAAGCTTTTGAACATATGTTCCTGCTCTCCCAAAAGTTTTGCTATATTTAGGTATCACTTCATCCACATATTTGGTGCATACTTCGTCTATACCAGTGGTCCTCAACCTTGAGTAACCGAGGTGTTCCTGGACAGCAATTCCCACAAGTCTTCGCCACCAGCTGTGTGGCCGTGGTTTCTGGGAGTTGCAGTCTAAGAACACCTGGGTTACCCAAGGTTGTTAGCCACTGGTCTGAAAATTTGGAAAATATGGAAGGCAATTTAGCAGCAGAGGGGCACTTATTCAAAATAGTCCTAAGTTGCCAGTTGGCAAGTTCTGTGGGATCCTGGATTCCTGAGGCATTAATTGTGGGACATGAGGATTTAGCCGCCTAGAGTGGTCTGTGAGGCATTAATTGTGGGACATGAGGATTTTGAGGTAATAATGCTGGGCTTGCTGTCTTCAGCTTCTTTTGCTGTGTTTTTGCAATAACATAGAAAACAATGTAGCATGAAATCAGGAGTCTTCCTTTTCTTACCCGTCTCTCTTTCTTGTTTTGCTTTTCTTTAGATTCCTTTCTCGCTGAACTCCAAGAAGAAGAAGTTGTGTCTTCAGTTATAGGTGTGTAGAAAACAAACACACAGGTTGTAGCTAAAGGAAGATGGGATTTTTCTCATAAATACAGTGGTGCCTCACTTAACGATGTTAATTCGTTCCAGCGAAATCGCTGTAGAGCGAAAACATCGTCAAATGAAACACAAAACCCATTGAAACACATTGAAAACCGTTCAATGCGTTCCAATGGGCTGAATACCTGCTTGTCCAGCGAAGACCCTCCATACGGTGGCCATTTTCGGTGCCTGTATACAGTGACGAATCCATCCTAGAAAACAGCGGGGGCCATTTTGAAACCCAACGATCAGCTGTTTGCTGATCGTCGTAAAGCGAAAATCGGTTCCCGAAGCAGGGAACCAATCATCGCTAAGCGAAATTTCCCCATTTAAAACATCATTTTGCGATCGCAAAAGCAATCTCAAAAACATCGTCATGAAGCGGATTTGTCGTTATACGGGGTAATCGTCCAGCAGGGCATGACTGTAGCTTCCCTGGGTAAAGTTGATCACCATAGGAATAGTGGGGGTGCCTTCAACCGAATGACTTAGAGAAGGAGGAATAGATGTGAAGCTAGCTTCTTGCAATTGAAACTTTTTCCTGGTGCTTTGGCCGGGGACCCGATGATGTCAGGACAACAGAACAGCAGGTGGCTATGCTGGATGTAGGATTCTGGGCTCAGAATCAGTTCAGAAATAAAATAAAACTCTGGAGTGGTTTTCTTCCATTTGCATGCCTGATGGCCATGGGCAGCAGTGGTAGAAATGCACACTGAAACTCAGCCTAACACCCAGAATGAAGCAGTTACAGGAGCTTCTCTCAGCTTTCTTACTTTGGAAAGCTACCCAGAATGAAGCAGTTACAGGAGCTTCTTTCTTACTTTGGAAAGCCTCAGTGTGGCACGCTGAGGGTTGCCAGTGTTGGACTAGAACTTGGGAGACCTGGATTCAAATCCCTACTTAGTAGTAAGGCTCGCCGGGTGACCTAGGGCCAGTGTGTATGAGCTGAATCTATCTCTTAGGCAAGTCCTTTATGAAGTGGACTGCAATCTGCCAAGTAAAACACAAGTTCTCTCTGTTGTTTTTACCACACTCCCTTGCAAACTACCTTATAGGGTGGTTGTGTGTGTATAGTAGGGCCACTACGTATACCACTTTGAACCTCTTGGAGGAAAGGGAGGATATAAATGTAGAGGGAAAAGAGAACTGAAAAATATGCTAGAATCTGTAGTCCAATATTTATTTATAGAAAACTAAATGTGTCTCAGCCTTTTCTATATTTATTTATTTACCTTATATGCCGCCCACTCTACCCAAAGGTCTCTGGGCGGCTTAAAACAATTAAAATACAATAAAAATACAATAAAAAGATAAATCAATTAAAATACAATTAAAATAGAAAATATTCTAAAATTAGGCCTGAAAAAGATGCTACAAGTTACTTACATGCCTATGTTCAGAGATGTTTGTACATTAAATAAAAATTCTGCATTATTTTAAAAACACAAGTGTGAGTAAGTTGTACATGACCACACTTTAAAAGTGTTTTTATACTAACTACAGATTTAACTACAGATTTTTAAAATGTTGAAATACAGAACTTTAAAGATTGCTCATGTGTGAACCTTATTCTATTGCAACATCTTTTTGGCTCTTAAGGAATGGACTGCAATATGTTGGGCTTTTTATAAAGCAATATTGGGCATAAGATATAGAACCAATAAGTACATAGTAAACTTATTTTTCGAAGTAATGTAATGAGTAGAAATGAGGTTGCCGCACCAGTGTTACAAGTAATATTTTCTCTAGGGCTTTAAAAATTTTTTTCCATTTGGCCTAACGCCAAGGGAGGCCCGGAAGGAAAAGACAAGAAACCGGGCCTTCTCGGCAGTGGCTCCTCGTCTTTGGAATAGTCTCCCTCCTGAGATTCGCATGGCCCCTTCCCTGGGCATCTTCAAATGCCAGTTGAAAGTGTGGCTGTTCAAGCAAGGCTTCCCTCCATCCACTATCTGAATTTTTGTTTCTTGTGTTTTCTCCCATCTTGGATCATTGTGTTTCTTAGTAATATATTGTCATGATTTAAAACTGTAAATTGTTATATGATATGTTGTTACCCGCCCAGAGTACTCTATATGACTAGATGGGCGGGCTATAAATGTAATGAATGAATGAATGAATGAATGAATGAATGAATGAATGAATGAATGAATGAATGAATGTATTAAAAGAAAATCAGTAATTGTTATTAAGTGCTATCAAGTTGCCTCTGATTTATGGTGATCCTGTGAATGAGTGACCTTCAAATTGTATCATCAGTAATTGTTATTAAGTGCTATCAAGTCGCCTCTGATTTATGGTGACATTGTGAATGAGTGACCTCCAAATTGTATCCAGGAAGGCTTTCATGGCCAGGATTTAATGGTTGTTGTGGGTTTTTCGGGCTCTTTGGCCGTGTTCTGAAGGTTTTTCTTCCTAACGTTTCGCCAGTTACTGACGAAATGTTAGGAAGAACAACCTTCAGAACACAGCCAAAGAGCCCGAAAAGCCCACATCGACCTCCACATTTCCTGCCATTAGCAGCCCTGCTCAGATTTTGAAAATTCAAGGCCATGGTTTCTTTTGCTGAGTCAATCCATGCATATTTAGTCTTCCTCTTTTCCTGCTGTGTTCAACTTCTGCTAGCTTTACTGTCTTTTCCAGTGTGTCTTGTTGTTTCACAATTTGCCCAAAGTATGACAGTCTCAGTGGTGTTATTTTTGCTTCTAGATAGAATTCAGCCTCAGTTTGTTTTAGCCTCTGTTTCTTTTAAAACCAATAATACTCTTCAGTAATTAAAAACAAGTGGTACAGTCCAGTCAGATGTAAACCTGTGTTCCTCTCTGGTCTCTCTACAGAGAACGTGACCCTTGATCTCGACACTGCGGGGCCCTACCTCATCATCTCGGATAACGGGAAGAGTGTGTGTCTGGGAGACAGACGCCAGACACGTGCCAAATCTCGGGACCGCTTCAATGTATACCCTTGTGTTTTAGGCTGTGAAGGCTTTACCTCAGGGAGACACTGCTGGGAGGTCCAAGTGGTGGAAGGGGGGTGCTGGGCCTTGGGCGTCGCCAGGGAGTCCGTCAAGAGGAAGAAATTCCGCTTCCATCCTGGCGAGGGGGTTTGGGCCTTAGAGCACGCAGGAGCCGGCCATTACAGAGCGCTGACTGCCCCTCCCACCCCCTTGCCCCTCAGCAAAGCCTGCCAAAGAGTCCGGGTGTGCCTGGACTATGAAGAGGGCCAGGTCGCGTTTTTTAATGCTGAGAATAATGAGTGGATCTTCACTTTCCCCACAAGCCCTTTTTCGGGAGAGAAAATTCATCCTTGGCTGTGGGTGGGGCTCCGATCCAAGCTTAGGCTGTGCCCTTAACTTGGTGCAAGCTCGGCTCTTCTTGTTTTTAAACATCAATAAGCCGGGAGTAAAATAACAACTTTATATACAACCCAGAGAACTGTGAAACTGTGGTTAGTGGCCAGCGTAAGGGTGCACTGAATAAATAAAAACCATGGGTTTTATTTATGGTGATCCCTGCATAAAAACTGAGAAAAGCATCGTGACTGTCGCAAGTTCCTCATCTACTCTCCGCCTCTCCAACCACACATTGGTACCTTTGCAGGACTCTGTCAGCCTGTGATAGGAGAGAGAGAGAGAGAGAGACCCTGATTAATAACTGCTTGTTGTCAAGTTGATTTTGACTTTTAGCGATCCTTCTCAGGTTTTTTTTTCTAGATAGGGAGTACTTGGAAGTAGTTTACTATTCCCTTCTTCAGGTGGCATCCTGGGACTGTGCAGCTTGCCCAAGGCCACATAGGCTGGCTCTTCTTCCTGGGGAGGAAGACATGGTGGAGAATCAAACATCTGACCTTTGACTCCACAGCCAGTAACCTGTCCAGATGGGGCAAATTCAGGCCCCAAAGGGTCTTATCTTCAGTTCAATCCATTTTATCTCACACATCAGCAGTTCTTCTGTTCACAGTCAATATGTTTATTCTCCTGTGAGAACAGTTCAGAAAGGTCTTTGGATCTTTCATTTACTCCTGAGTAAGGTTTGTTGGAGTTTTAGCAACCTTTGTAATGCTGCCTTTAAGAGATTTGGCTGCCAGGGATATTTCTGGACTTGGGTGACTGTCAATCAATCTGGCAGTAACCCATTGTTCCCTCTCTGCCCCAGATTTTGAAGAGTGCCCCATCTCTCTTCCCTGCTCTTTTTCTGCCGGTGGTCAGCATTAGCTTTTGTAGTGAGTGTGTAGTAGTCATGTAGTCATCAGACATCAGTCAGTGTCAATCATGTAGCGAGTATGCAGATATGAATCTATTAAGCCCTAATAATGTAACCAGTCATTATTTTTCTATAATATGCTGCTTCTGATCTGTTTCAGAACTGTGTATAAATTGAATTTTTTATTCCTTCTCTTACCAGTGTCTCAGAGTGAGTTATTGAGACTGTAAATGCCAGTTGAGGAGCACCAAAAAAGGTGGTCTATTCTGGGGAAACTTGAAGCTAATTCTGCTGTGCAGATCCCTGATTTCTTTTCCTCTTCCTAGCTAGAGGTTTTTAACAAAACATTTCACACTCAGCCAAGGTTTACTTTGAGAGTAAGGAGGCGGCTTTCTTTCTTTCTTTCTTTCTTTCTTTCTTTCTTTCTTTCTTTCTTTCTTTCTTTCTTTCTTTCTTTCTTTCTTTCTTTCTTTCTTGTAAATAAGGTAAGTGACATAGCAAAACAGCAATATGGTACACATAATGCCACCAATGTTTATCTAGAATATTGTTGCAGCAATAGGGAAATATGTTTTTAAAAAAATAAAGTGATAGAGAAAATGAAAATAAAGGAGGGGGTTTCTAGTCATCCATTAAAATGTTACAACTCACGTAATACCTCACAGGATTGTCACCTCAAAGGACACTGCTAACAGCTCTGTTCTGTGTGAACTAACCAATCTACACAGGCTACACAATGGGCTAATTAAGAACTTGACAAATTGTGCCAAAAAACCCAGAAGCTTTAGTGCTATGCCAGAAAAGCTCTAAAAAGGGCTGGGATGGAGCGCTTCTAGGTCAAAAGACCTCTGGATACAGTAATTTGATTTGAACCAAGCTGTACAAAAAACCAGTCCAAACAACGAGCTGTATATCCGTCTGGACAGGTTCTAACTCAGAGACCTGCACCTGTGGTTTAAATCCAAATCCATCTTTAATTTCAAGCTTTTAGCAGAACCTTCTTTTGGAGGATCTCTGGAGACCCAAGGTTACGAACCGCTGATCTGGGGCAAGAGTAGTCAACCCCAACATTCCAGGTGCTGCTGGGACTAGACTTCCCATCTCCTAGCTAGCATCGCCAAGAGTGAGAAGCGATGGGAGTTGATGTCCAGCACATGCCTAGAGGTCATGTGACCCTGTGCTAAAGTTGCAACTAGAGAATGCCTCTGGGACTCGATGGAATTTACAGAGGAGTTGACTCGCCCAATTCTCAGAGTAGTCAACCCCAACATTCCAGGTGCTGCTGGGACTAGACTTCCCATCTCCTAGCTAGCATCGCCAAGAGTGAGAAGCGATGGGAGTTGATGTCCAGCACATGCCTAGAGGTCATGTGACCCTGTGCTAAAGTTGCAACTAGAGAATGCCTCTGGGACTCGATGGAATTTACAGAGGAGTTGACTCACCCAATTCTCACAAGCTTAATCTAGGGTGATCCAGGATTTCCACCATTGTTGAGTATTCCAGCCTTTTCAGTTATGACATTGAGCAAAAAAAAAGCTTATATTTCTGCTGCTTAAGAGGGGGGCAGTCGGGTGGGAAGTGAGAACACAAGTTTTGGAATATGTCAGTTGGATGGCGTATTAGCCACTCCGTATCTGTCTCTGAAGAGTCCATACTTGGAGCTTGGGAAAGCCCTCACAGCTGGAGGATTCTGGGAATTGTAGTCAAAAGAACTTTCTGAAGCTCTGATCATACCCCAGCAAGATTAGAAACAGGCATATTGTTTCTCCTTAATGAGCCAGGAATCTGTGTTTTGACCAAGATCTTGAGTGCAGCCAACCTCTTCTCTTTTCAGAAATGGAGACCTACCACCGCCGTTCTAATACACATACACACCTCCTAGTCTATAATCTTTATATTGGGATTGAATTTAGCTACACTGGATTTTGTGGCCACATCTGACCTAGTTTTTTAGAACTTTTATTTTTTTTCTGGATCTCCTCCCTAATGGGTTGTTTCTCTTGAACCACCTATTCTGATGAAGAGTTCAGGGAAATACAAAAGTCTGTTCACTTTCTGTGGTATTTTGGCTGATCCGTAGTAAATATTTGACCAGCTGTAGAATTTTGTTATCATGCACCACCAAGGCTACTGGTTTGTGTGTGTGTGTTTTTTTTTTTACCAGAACTCTACTGGTGATTTTAATTGTTTGCAGTTAGACATATGACCGGGCACATGACTAAGATATGCACTGCCGTGTCACCAATTAGCTGTGGCAAATTACAGAAACCTTATCTGAGCATCAATATGTTTCTGGTCTTTAAATGCCTTTTACATTCTTTGGGAAACTTGCACCGCAAGAGATCACAGACAGTGGCTGAAATCCATCAGTGAGATATAAACTGAAGTAGGCCTATTGAGTGACTGGCACAGCTGTCGACTCATCAGATCCCCACTGATTCAATGAGTCTACTCTAGTTACAATTCACAACTGGATTTTAGCCAATATTTGTCCCTATCTCTTCTCTGTACAGTGTTAGAGCTTGGGTACCAGCATCTCTTAACTATGCCCTCACACAACCACAAACATGATTCTGGTATTAAAATTAAGTTGTTGACTCCATTGAGTTAGTGTGGCCTGCGTTTTAGACAGATACACTACAGAGAAACTAAAAATGGCTTACTGGCTGGGACAAAGAAGACAGCTGTTGCCTTTTTAAACATGCACTTGTAAAACTAGAGACACCTTCACAAATTTGGGCCTTGTACTGTTCCACAGTGTTTTGTTTTTATATGCTGCATACAGTATTTTTTCCTCAAATCCACATGAGGTCCAACATTCACAGACTGTTTCTGCAGTGAACTCCAACCCCTCCCTTTCCCCTCTATAAACCAAATTTAAGATGAGTTGTTTAAACCTGCAAATCTAATATGTCCAGAAGAACTGTTTCCTCTCTACGGAACTACTACTGCCTGACAGAAAAAAGCCCAGCTGGCAGGTTCTGCTCCTTCTGTTAGATAACACTGGCACATACACATCATTACTCATTACTGGCCCATTTCCTGCAATCTGGACATGGTGGGTAACTTCCCATCCTGCCTTCCCCAAAAACGAACACATTGGCAAGGACAAACCGATAATCTACGTCATCATGCAAACACTTCAGCATGATAAATATAGCAAATGTTCCCCTAAGCACTGGTCTTGCACCAAAGTGTGTGGCTGAAATGTATGGCTGGCTGGGAAGAGGAGAAACCCTGCTAGATGACGCAGCTGTTCAAAAATTAAAACTAAGGAATGGATGAATGCTCCAGCATCACAAGGGGAGAACGGCAAGATTTGCCTAATTCATTATTTTTTAAAACTTTTATTATATTTGTTTGTTTTATTTCCAGACTGCCCTTCTCCCTGTGACAGAATTATATCCCAGTTTCTTCCAGAAGAAGAATCTACTGGCAAAGCTTCTGAAATGCAGGGCAGTAAGAACGAGAGCCTGGGAGGGCATCTACACTGCACAGTTATAACAGTTTGATTTTACTTTTACCTGCCATAATTCTTTCCTGGGGTCTGAAGTTCAGGGGATGGCCTCTAGACGAGTCCCTCTAGCAAAGAATTCTAAGCACCTCGTGAGACTCCAGATCCCAGGGTTACATAGACAACAACCATGGCAATTAAGAGTGGTATCAAACTACTTTAGCAACAGTGCAGATACAGACGGAGAAAGAGACATATTAGATACTAGTTTTGATAGAAACCCAATAACCCAAGGTTAAGAACCAGTGACATAGACGACAACCAGGGCAATTAAAGTGGTACCAAACTACTTTAGCAACATAGTGCAAATACAGACGAAGAAAGAGACATATTAGATACTAGTTTTAATAGAAACCCAACTAATCACCCAATTATGAGCAGGGAACATAAAAACCAGTTATTTAAAAAAATCTATTTAAATCATGATTTAAATTTCCAAAAATTATTTTTTTTAAAATTTAAATTGTCAGAAAACTGATTTAAATCCATTTAAGTCAAATCCACCTTGAAGCCGAGCAATAGGATGTTCAAGTTAGATTAACAGATAGGCTTCTTCACAGAGCACACCAGTAAAGCTTGGGTGGCTTCGAAAGGGAACTAGACAAAACAATGGTGAATAAAAGTATGAATAACGCACATCATGATGACTCTGCTGTATCCAAAACTAGACACGGTACCAGTCATGAGAGGACAAAGGAGAGTGAAGGTAGCTGCTTTCATATTTTGCTTATGGGCTTCTCATGAGTTGGCTGGATAGCTCAGGGAGTTCAATTCACCACAATGCCTCCTAGGAGTACAGCTAGCCTGTATGGCCTTGGGCAGGCTGCACAGTCCCAGGGCACCTCCAGGAAGAAGGGAATGGCAACCCATTTTCAAGGGTTTCTCGGTAGGTAATGCTCATCTCCTGAGTATTCTCTACCTGGTAAACCCTGAAAAAAGATACGTGAGCAAAGTGACCCTACCTGCAACCTGCTAGGGCCTCCAGTGTAGCTCCTGGCATTCTCATAGCAAAATAATAATAATAAAAATGTGGAAAATAGCACTAACACCCCAATGCTATTTGTCATTTTTTAAAAACTCTAAGTGATCACCCAACAAAATTGTCATAAACGAACACTTTTTTAAATAGAAAAACTAAGGTCTAATTTTAAAGACTGTACATTTTTTTTCTTAAAACAAAGGAACATTCCAGTTACTGGCCTGAATTACACATGGCATATATCTCACATAAATACAATCACTGGTTTTTAAAGAAATTAAGAGAAATTAATGGAAATAATATTTGAATATCACCAACTATTGCTCTTTTAAATATAATCAAGAATGACCATCTTAAAAAAGAACAGACAGAATTAATCATTATAATTATCACAGCAGCAAGATTAATAATTGCCAAATACCCATCTTAAAAAAGAACAGAAAGAATTAATCATTATAATGATCACAGCAGCAAGATTAATATTCGCCAAATATTGGAAAAAATGACAAGTCAACCTCGAAGATTGGTACAGTATAAAGAAATGTGGAGTTTAGCGATAAATGATAAGCTAACATGTGAAATAAAAGAAGGGGGAATGACAAAATATAATGAATTTAAAGAGATATGGAATCTATATTTGAATTATGTTTTTGTAAAAGGGAAAAGTAAAAAGCCAGGAGAATTGCATTTTTGGAGTGGAAAGGAGTAAAAGGGAAAAGTAAAAAGCCAGGAGAAAAATCAATGTATTTTTGGAGTGGAAAGGGGTGAAAAGAGATTAAAATGAAATAATTTCTTATCTGGTCCCGAGGGTGATGGTGGCACGGGGGGAACTTTTTGTATTAGTGCACGGCGTGTAAGTACACACACTTTATGTTAGTACAGTATTGTTCATATTGTTTTTCTTTAATTAATTAAAAAACATAAATACAAGCAAATACCTAATGAAAATCTGAATGGAAAGTAACCAATCTCATATTGTTATTCCAGATTAGGTATTTAGGATCCATTTGTACTTTTCAGATAAAATAAGTACAGGCACTGAAGTTTAAAGACGGTCACGTGTACATACCTCCACCTTAATAAAATAGAAAAACATTGCCTAAATATCAAAAGGAGGTATTTAAAATCAGAATGTTTCCCCACAGATGAGGCATTGGGATTGCAAAATACATTTTACTAAAGTGAACACTGAGATTATCACAGAGGTGTTGATTTTTTGAAACTGAAATGGGCTGCATCATTTGATGCAAAGTTATTCATTTGACATTTGCTTCAGCTCTAATGAAATGTAAATGCCCGATAAAGGATCACAGAAGACATTATATACACATATTAGTATATTCTACAATTATTATTGGATGGCTAAATTCTTGACAAACCCAGCCATGTTCTCTCAGAGAGAAGAAATGACTAAATTCCATCATCCAGCCCATCCCTTTTCCTTTTTTTCCCAATTAAAAAACAAAAACAAATTCTCTTCCTTTTTAAGATGGTTCTTCATCTCTAATACAGTACTTTATTAAGATATGTGAAAAGACTTTAGTGGAACATGCTTATTAAAAGCCTTGCTGGGACTTTTCATCTTGAAAACAAACGAATGGAAGTGAATAAAAAAGGGGCCCAGAGAAAATAAGCTCATTTATGTTTAGATTATTTTCTTTCTCCGTATCCTTGGCAAAATGAATTTCATTTAGGCACTCTGCCTCCCCATCCCATAGTGCATGTGAGGGTGTGTAATAAGAGAAATACCATTCTGCCTCAGTTTTCTTAACTGGTATGTGCAAAACTGTGTCTTCCACACACACATAGAAGATAGCTCATACTTTCAGGAAGAATCCCACTTTTCATTGGAAAAAAAACCCCAACCAACCAACCAAGTTACTAGCTATCATTGTGGCAAAAATAAACCTGAACACGTGTAGACTACACCTAGCAAGATTTACCAATATATGTAAATTTTCTTAATTTGCATAACTTTTCTAGGCCACATAAATCATTTTCCTTGATGAAGAATGTGAACTGCCTTTGGGCAGATGAAATAAAAATGGACCAAACACTCCCATGTATCTGTACCTCTATGCATGTCTGCATATTTCCCCAGAAATATGTCCCACTGGGTCAAATGGATTTTACTCGTATCTGAGTGTGTAACCTTCATAACTTATAAGAAAAGCAGAACAGGAGATTTCCAAAGAAGGAAGACCTTCAGGAAAACTCTATTACTCGTTCCAGTGCAATGTTTGTGTCGGTGCCTGTATTTTTAGTGGACCCTTTAAAATGGACTCGCCGATGGCTGACTAAGTGAGAACTCTGGTTAAACCTCTTCCCGCACTCGGGACACTCATAAGGCTTCTCCCCAGTGTGAATCCTCTGGTGCTTGTTTAAGTCTGAATTCCGGATGAAGCTCCGTCCACACTCGAGGCACTTGAAAGGCCGGTCGCCCGTGTGCATCCGCTGGTGGGCCAGAAGGGCTGAACTGTAGCTGAAGGTTTTCCCACAAAGCAAACATTTGTAGCGCCGGTCGTCCTGATGTGACTTGCGATGGACCAGGAGCTGGTGGAGCATTCGGAAGCTGGCCGGGCAGTCTGGACAAGCATGCAGCTTCTCCGTGTGGGTCTTCTGGTGGGAGATGAGGTGGGACTTGTGCCCGAACCGCCGGTCACACTCAGAGCAGATATAAGGTTTTTCTCCGGTGTGGGTTCGTTGGTGGGCTGAGAGATTGGAACTGGTACTGAAGCACTTCCCACAATCCTGGCACTCGTAGGGTTTCTCCCCTGTGTGGGTCCGTTCGTGGGCCCGGAGCTGAGAGCTCTGCCGGAAGCCTCTCCCACAAATAGGGCACTTATAGGGCTTCTCCCCTGTATGGATCCTCCAGTGCTTGATGAGAACTGAACCTTCACTGAAGCACCGCCCGCAGTCAGAGCAGACATATGATTTCTCCCCAGTGTGGGTCCGGCGGTGCACGATCAGGGCAGAGCTGGTATTGAAGCTTTTCCCACAGTCGGTGCATTTGTAAGGCTTCTCCCCCGTGTGGAGCCTGCGGTGGGTCAAAAGGCTGGAGCTGTGGCGGAAGCTTTTGTCACAAACATCACACTTGAAGGGACGGTTGTCCGAGTGGATCCTCGGAGGGCTACTGTCATAGTCCAAGCAGATCTTCCCGGCAAATGTATCCTTGTGGGGTGGCACATCGTTCTCACTGATCCCTTCGGGCTGCTCAGAATCCTGGGAGTCCTTGCTCTCTTCCAATAACTTCTCAGGTGGTTGTTTGGGAAACAACAGAATAGGGTCCATTTGCTCATGGGTCTCCTCCTGGGTTTCTCCCTTGAGGCACTGATCATCCTCTAGAATAAAGAGAGTGTGCTATTAGCCATTCATTCAATGGTCCTCCATGAGAATAAAACCAATTGGGGATGTAGCAAGGAAACGGGATATAGACTGTACAAGGATAAAACTTCTAAGGAGGAGGAACACCTTAGAGAAACGAAGTTTGGGCCCTAAAACCCAATTGTTATTCCAGACTTAGTAATCCTATTGATTAAATACGAAAGACTCACTGGAAAAGACAATAATGCAGAAAGTTGAAGGCAACAGGAACAGAGGAAGCGTGAATAGGAGGTGTATTGACAAATAAAGGAAGCGACAGACTTGGGTTTGCAAAAGCTGACAGAGTTGTTAATGACAGGACTAAGGAAGTCACTAAATTATAGAGTTGCCACAAACTGGAAGCAAACCTGCCAGCAAGATTTGGCTCATGACTTCCGAAGCTACAAAGCAAGCTCTCTGGCTCCTAGACAGTTGTCCAACTTGTTCTGTATTGACTCTGAAGTGAAATAACATATCATTTATTTTATCCTAAAATCCCCATCCAATGTGGAAGAGTCTATGTGTTCTTATTTTGGCTAGATGTAGAAAAAGAAACACAACAGCAATTATGGACTTCTGGTACCCCTGCTACTGGAAATGCTGGATCTGGGAGATGCAGTCTGCACAAATAAGCATTTTCCATCTTTGAAAGTGTGAATAGGAGGGGTCCCTTACACACAAACACGAACCCTGTTTATTATGAGTCTCATTTATTTGTAACAGTTTTCACCTCCAGGGAGAAAGGTGGTTCTACAGTGTTTTTAAAGTACGATGTGTCTTTCAAAGCACTGTGGAGATGAACATAAAAAGCTCTTTCTTATATATACTGTAGTAGTCTTGTTTTGGATCCAGGATTGTAAGTTGAAAAGGAAAAGTCACAATACAGTTAAAAATAATAATTGCATGCCGTCAAGTCAACTCTGACTTACAGTGCTCTTTCCTAGAATTTTTTAGATACAAAGTACTCAGAGGTGGTTGCGGGATGTATTCTTGAGAGGAAATGTTTTGATGAGGCTGGCTGGTGGCGTTTCTGCTTGGCTGTTGACATTTCCCAAGTCCCCGTCTGCACCTGGTAGGCCTGCGCTGTGTCATATAAAGCCTTCCAATGGACTCAGACACAACATCAAACTGGTTCAGATCACAGTGCCTATTATAGCACAACCTGTCTTCCTGTACAAGGGCCTCTGTATTGTGAAGTAGTTTCAGATTTTGGTAGGCTGGCTGGTGGGGGGTGAAAAACACTGCTTGCACTGGTCAGGTAACTAACAGACAAGGCCTGACTGGAAAAATTACTTTGTGAATTGCAGCTCCCACAACCTCCCAACCTATGCTATGCTGGCTGGGTGGGAGGGGGGGGAGCGATTCTGCAAGTTGTAGTTTTAAAAAACAACAACTTTCCCATGCTTTTGGTGTTCCCAACTTCCCATTTCTGATATGACAAGAGAACCTAATCCATTTTTGACACTTTGGGGCAGTGGTGTAGGTAGGACGCTGACTTTAAAAAGGGAGCGCCAACGAACTCTGAAAAATAAAATAAAGTAAATTGCCTCTTGGACACTAATGCCGCAATCTGCATACTTTTAAAACTACAAGAGTTATCAAAAGTGGATTTCCTGTCATCCTCACATGACAAACTTACAGGTGAAGCGAGGATTCGAACTCAAGTTCTCACAAAGTGCCCGTAAACAGCCTAGGGAATAATATTAATTCTGGTTTAATTACCAGCACAGAAGGTGTAAGCAAGTCCATTCACCTTAAGACAGTAAAGAGAGACGAAGCAAAATAAATACAAATAAATTCTGAACACATCAGAATTGTTTGTACTAGAGTACTTTTTTGTTCGAGATTCTAGAAACCCTTCTTAACAAAGACCTAACGAAGAAAAAAAAATGTTATCTGGCATAAGGGATGTCATGCTCCTTACAGGTGTTTTTGGGCACGAGTTTCCCTTTCCGACGACACCCGGGATCCTACACCTTCCTCGCGCCTCTGCTGTCTCCGCGCCCATTGAAGAACTCCACCCGAGCAGCACCCCATAAATCCAATAATAAAAATCACATTTATTGACCCTCGATGGCCAGGGAGTCGGGCAGAAAGCGCTCCTCGTTCGCTTCCCTCTCTTTCCCTCCCTCTCCTTCCAGCCTCCCTCCCGGCCCTTACCGGGGTCCATGGCTGTATGAATAGGGACACGCGCGTTTGTTTTCGCGTTACGATCCTGATGAGAAGCCGGGACGCGACGCAAAAGGAGCAAACACCAAATTTCGGGGGCAGACTCCGACCGGATTCCTCTTGTGCCCTTTTGTGTCGCCCCTTAAAGCACCATGGGAAGTGTAGTCTTCGTGGCCCAAGCCGCGGAGTCTTTGAGGCAAGGCATTGTGGGAATCGCAGTTCTGCCGGGACTGCTTGGCTTG